CCCCCCCCCCCCCCCCCCCCCCCCCCCCGACACACACACACACCACAGACATATCAAATTAAAAAAGAACTTAATGCCATCCTTGGCTACATACTAAGTTTGAGGCTACCCTGAGCTACACAACATCCTATCATTTAAAAAAGTAATTTTATTAATTAGAGTAATTTGAGTATTAGTTAAAACTCAAAAGAAGCTGGGTCTGGTGGCATATACTTTTAATCCCAGCACTTGAGAGACAGAGGCAGGTGGATCCCTGAGCTTGAGGTCAGCCAGAGTCAAATAGAGAAACCCAGTCTCAAGAAAACAAAACAACAAACAAACAAACAAACAAACAAAAAGAGAAAGAAAGAAAAAGGATTTCAGTTGATGGGGCTGCAATGACGGCTCAAGAACATTAGCTGTTCTTCCAGAGGACTCAAGTTTGATTCCCAGCACCCACATTAGGCAGTTCAAACTGCCTGCTATCTCTAGCTCCAAAGGATCTGACACCCTCATCTGGCTTTTGTGGGTACACACACACACACACACACACACACACACACACACACACATAAAAATACATCTTAAAATTGTCTTTCTTTATATTACACATAATGCTAACAAAACTTTGATCTGGGACTAGGGAGATATCCTACTTGATAAAGTGCTTATTGCTCAAGCATGAGGACCTGAGTTCAGATCCCCAGCATCCATGCAATAAGCCAAACATGGTGGTTCATACTTGTAATCCCAAGACAGGGGAGATGTAGACAGACAGATACGTAGGGCTTGCTGGCCAGTCAGCCTAGTCTAATCAGTGAGCCTCAGGTCTCAGTGAAACCCCACATCAAAACGGGTAGATAGCATCTGAGGAATGAATGACCTTTGAAGATGACCTCTGGCCTCTATACATGGGAGTAAGTATATACATACAAACTTTGATCTTCATCAATCGGTGTGTGTGTGTGTGTGTGTGTGTGTGTGACAGAGAGAGAGAGAGAGAGAGAGAGAGAGAGAGAGGATAATTATAATTATGGACACTATGGAATAAAGACTCACTGATGACTCCTGGTGTATGGGTTCAGATTCTGGATTGTTCTGTCCTTCAGCATGTTCATTGAGGTTGGCTGTTTCACTGCTACTGGTGCTGAGGCTACAATAATCTGTAGCGCCATTTACAAGAATGCTTTGTGGGCTACTGCACCAATTTGATTGGTCATTATGATTTTCCAAATCTTTCATTTCCATCAGTCTCATTTGCATCTGCCAATACAAAGTAGAAACACAAAATAATTTAATACTAGAAACATATCTAACATACAAATAGGTATGCCCCAGACTTACTCAAGGAAGAGTTTGCTTTCTATTAGGGGAATCCTCTGGGAATGAAGCATGATTTAAAAATTTCAATAATCTTTTCCAATGAGTCCTCCTATAATTTTAGCATGCATGCATTTGCTTTTGTAAGTCTTGTGAAATCTCCAAGAATTCTGTCTCAGTATCTGAGAACTGGCAGTCTTTCAGGGTATAATTAGAAAAAGAAAGACCCAGGATACCAGAGGAAAAGACAGCTAAGAATCCGAGAGGATGAAGATTCAGTAATAAAGCTGTAGGGGAGTTACAGGAAGTTAAAGAATATAAGGGTAAGGCAAGCCAATGTACTATCTTTTTTTTTTTTAATTATTAGTGTTAGTTTTTCTGAGACATGGGTTCTTGTGTAGCCTTGGCTGTCCTATAACCAGCACTGTAGACCAGGTTGGCCTTGACCTCCCAAAGATTTTCCTGCCTCTGCCTCCTGAATTCTGGGATTAAAGGTGTGCGCCACTACTGCCCAGCTTCTGGCATTATCAGTAATGGAAAAGATGAGCCCTAGAAAGTATCTTCTAAAAAAAACTATTAAGTCAAACAAAGTCCATTAAACAAAGGATAAAGTTGTTTTGACCAACTATTCAAATGAATTCCACAGTGGGGCACAAAAGGCAAAATTCAATAAATTATATTAAATAACAGATTTTTTAACATTTATATATAAAATTATAAGAATTTCATGTTATATATTAAGTAATATATATAAAAAAGAGAATCAAGGAAGCTAAATTATTTCAATGAGCAAAACTGAACTAAAAATCAGAATCCCAAGGGAAAAAAAAAAAACAGTAAGTTCTGTCTTAGTAAGAATTATTACTGCTGTTGAAACACCATGACCAGGGAGGAAAGGGTTTATTTGGCTTACACTTCCACGTTACTGTTCATCATGGAAGGAAGTCAGGCAGGAACTCAAACAGGGCAGAAACCTGGAGGCAGGAGCTGATGCAGAGGCCATAGGGGAGAGCTACTAACTGGCTTGCTTAGCCTGCTTTCTTATAGAACCCAGGATCACCAGCTCAGGGATGGCCTCACCCATAATGGACTGGGCTCTCTCCCATCAATCTCTAAGAAAATGCCGTATAGGCTGGATTACAGACCATCTCATGGAAGCAATTTTCAATTGAGGCACTCCCTCTTCAATTACTCCAACTTGTGTCATAAAACAGTCAGGCAATACTTACTGAGAATTTATATATCAGACACTATGTTAAACTACCTCATGTTTTGCCTCATTTAATCCTTGTAACAGCCCTAATAGGTAGGTGTATTGTTAAATCTTTAACTTTAAAGAAAAAATCTGATATCCCAAGGTGATTCACTTAATAAATCGAAGAACTAGCATTTAAACCTGAATAGTTTAACTACAAAGCCCATACTCTAACCATTATGCAAATGACCATCAGATGAGCAACAGGCAACTGTGAGTATTAAACGGTAATAACTGGGCAGATAAAGGAGGAGCAGACAAGGAAGGGCCTTCCCAGCATGCAGCTTGTTTCCACTTACTGAACTGATTTCCTGTTGTGATTCCTGTAGATGCTGCTGAAGAGGTTCCAGCTGAGCCTTTCCTGACTCCACACTTTCTTCCAGTTGTGCTGTTTCTTCTTGTAGGCGACTTAGTTCTTCTCTAGCTTTTGACAGCTCTTCCTCGTAAGTGGAGATCTGAGATTCTTGACTAGTTATTTCATCTTTCAAGGAAGAGATCTGTAAGTGGAGATGAATGACAGGAGAGGGAATTAAACCAACAGATGTCTAGCTTAGTGGTTTGGAATATTTGATGTATTCTTTTAGGAGTGGAAGATAATGGAGAAGGGGCTACAAGGAACTTGGAGGCAAAAGTCTTGTGCAATCAAGATCTGGAAAAACAGTACCCCTCTAATTTCTACTACAGAGAACAGTAATTCCTCATGGCCATCCCTCCAACTCCTTCATAAAGGAACTGCTGACAAAACTGCCGCAAACAAGCAGGGAATGTTTTCTTTTAAACCATGAAAGCGATTTAAGTGGAGATCCAGTCAGTAAGCAGCCAGGCTTTTTACCAGCTGGGCCTCCTCAGCACACTTTTTCCTGACTTCCTTGAGCTGCTCTTCCAGCTGGGCTTTCTGCTCATCCAGCTCATCAAGGAGTTCCTGCACCTGCTGCTTCTGGGCCTGTAGTTTTTGCAGATTAATACTCTCCCTTTGAACTTCATCTTGAAGATCCTGAAACACAAGAAAACAAAGATCTCTTTGAGGGCATGGAGAGGCGAATTTTTAAGTCTATTTTAAGGGAAAACAAATTTTTGTTTTATTTAATATTTTTTATTGGGGGACTAAAGCACTCAATTTTACATGCAGTCTTCCAGTAACCTCTTCCAGATTTGGATATCTAGTCTGCTTACTCAAATTTGTCTTTGGATGTCTGACTGACTTCTCTAGCATGTCAAAATAGAAGTCATACCATTTCCCCGAATCTGTGTTAGCCTCTATCTTCTGGTCAAAATCATGGCATCTTCTTCCACTCTCCCTTCTTTTACTTTTTGTCTCTAGCCTGCCAGTAAATCCTTCCCCCCAATGCTGGTGTAAATCACCTTCATCCCTCTCAGGCAGCTTCCCTCCAATGGGGTATAATGCTTCCCACTCATCAACCTTCCCATGTATTTTTTTTAGCACCTCAGCCACTTAAAAAACAAAGCAAAAAAGCCTTTGTCAGCTGGGTGTGGTGACACACACCTTTAATCCCAGCAATCCAGGGGCTGAAGCAGGCATATCTTTGTGAGTTTGAGGCCAGCCTGGTGTGGTAGCTCGTTTTATGCCAACTTGACACAAGCTAAAGTCATTTGAGAGTCATTGAGAAAATGTCTTCATAACATCTGGCTGCATTTTCTTAATTAGTGGTTGATGTTGGAGGGCCCACCTATTATGGGTGGTGCCATCCCTGGGCTGGTGATCCTGGGTTCTATAAGAAAGCAGACTGAGCAGTCACTGGGAGCAGTAAGCAGCCCTCTTCCATGGCCTCTGGCAGCTCCTGCCTCCAGGTTCCCGACCTGCTTGAATTCCTGTCCCAACTTCCTTCCATGGTGAACAGTGATGTGGAAGTGTAAGCCAAACAAACCCTTTCCTCCTCAACTTGCTTTTTGGTCATGTTGTGTCATCTCAGCAATAGAAACCCTAACTAAGACGCTTGGTCTACATAGTGACTACCAGGACAACCAGCACTACATAGAGAGAGACCTTAACTCACAAAAACAAAAACAAAACCCCACAAGGCCCTGGTTCAACCCCAGCACCAAAAACACAAAGAACTCCAACTCATGTCAAACTCTGTATATTCTTACGTGTAACAGTGAAAAGAATGGTCTCATGTGGTACATAACAGAGTTTGTCAGACCTTTAATGAGTGAAGGGAAGGAAGTGTTGAGGACTGATGTACGCACCTACATAGGAGGAATAAATCCTGATGTTCCATAGCACAGCAGGATAACTATGGTTCACAGCAATTACACATTTCAAAGTAAGTGGCTAGAACTTCCAAAGCTACCAACAATAACAACAACAAAAATGCATGTTTGAGTGACAGTCTTGCCAATTATCGCCCCCATCTAACCCTTGCATTGTATAAACAGGCTGAAATGTCATGCTGTATCTTTAGACATGTATGTGTCAGTTAAAATTAAGAAAAGCAAACTTTTTACTGTTTTGAGGACAGGTCTCATGTAGCACAAGTTGTCTTGAACTCAGATGTGGCAAAGGATAGCTAGCCTTGGACTCCAAAGTACTGAAGTTACAGGTCTAACAACAACTGGAAAAAAGATGTTTTAAAAGAGTGAAACATAAAGTACAACAAACCCTTGTGTCAATCCTATCACTTATCCACTCAAAACCTTTCAGAGTCTTCATCTCACTAGAAAAAAAATTAAAGTTGTTGTGGGTTATCTGTACACTGTGGGAAGATGCATTGCTGCAACTGGTGTAATAAAAAGCTGAATGACCAATAGCTAGGCAAAAGGTATAGGCGGGACTTCTGGGCAGAGAGAATGCTGGCAAGAAGAAAGGTGGGTCGACAGCCAGAGGCGGAGGAAGCAGGATGGGCAATGCAGGCTAATTAAAAAAGATATTGGTTAATTTAAGTTATAAAAACTAGTTAGGCCGGGCGATGGTGGCGCACGCCTTTAATCCCAGCACTCGGGAGGCAGAGGCGGGGGGGTCACTGTGAGTTCGAGACCAGCCTGGTCTACAAGAGCTAGTTCCAGGACAGCCTCCAAAGCCACAGAGAAACCCTGTCTCGAAAAACCAAAACCAAACAAACAAACAAAACAAAACAAAAAACTAGTTAGGAACCAGTCTAAGCTAAGGCAGAGCTTTCATAATTAATAAGTCTCTGTATTGTTATTTGTAAGCTGGTGGCCCAAAGAAAAATCCACTTACACAAAGTTCTTAAGAATCTACTTTATCACCACACTTGGGAGGTAGAGGCAGGCAGATCTTAGTGACTGTAAGGCCAACCTGATCTACAGAGCAAGTTCCAGGACATCCAGAGCTGTTACACAGAGAAAACCTGTCTTGAACACCCCCCACCCCAAAAGAACCTACATTATCCCGAATGCCAACTCAACTCATGTCCAACTGCTCCTTCCTTTGCCCTAACTGCTCTTCTGCTCCTCAAGCAAGCCAGACACACAACCTCTCAATCTTCTAGTATTCTACTACTTCTCCTAAGGTATCTAAGCACTTGATCTCCTTCAAGGTCAACTTCTGACCAATACAACAAACACCTCCCACTTCCACCCATAATATATAGAATATAGCTTCCCTTCTTTTCTTCCTTCCGTTAGTTGTTTTTGTTTGTTTTTCAAGACAGGATTTCTCTATATAGCCTTGGCTGTCTTGGAACTCACTCAGTAGACCAGGTTGGCCTCAAATTTAGAGGCAGAGGATCCCCTGCCTCTGCCTCCCAAGTGCTGGGATCAAAGGTGTGCACCACCACTGCCAGGCTCCAGTTTATTTTCTATAATAGTTTTGTGAGATAACTTACAGCCACACAGTTAATCCATCTACTTTACTCAGGGAGTTGTGCAATTATTACCTAAAGACATTTCAGAACATTTCTATCAACCTCCTAAAGAACCCTGTACTTACTAGCAACTCACCCCTTTTTACTTCTGGCCTCTGTAGCACGAATTCTCTTTTGTCTTAATAATAAAAACCGAGAGTCAGCTACCAGAGGGTGAAAGCTGAAGGATCAGAGAAGCAGAGTGGCCAGCCACTAGAGTTCTTACATCTGCCAATGCTCAGACTGCTGCCTGAGACTGCATCCTCAGACTGCTACTGCTCAGACTGTCTTGAGTTCCTGTCTCCTCCCGCCTTATATTCCTCTCTCTGCCCAGCCATATCACTCCTGTCTCCACCTCCCTAGTGCTGGGATTAAAGGCATGTGATTCCAAGTGCTGAGATCACCTCTGTTTCTTTTAGACAGATTCAATCTTGTGTAGCCCAGGGTAGCCTTGAACTCACAGAAATCCAGCTGCCTGTCTCCTGAGTCCTGGGATTAAAGGTATGTGCCACCACTGCCTGGCCTCTATGGCTAATTAGTGGCTTAGCTCTTCACTCTGACCTCAGGCAAGCTTTATTTGTTACAGCATAAACAAAATATCATCACAGACCTCCCTTCTCTTATTTCCTATTCTCCTCTGTCCAGGGTAATCACTAATCTATTTATCATCTCTACAAATATGTCTAATTTGGATATTTTACATAAATGTAATTATGTCAATTTCCCCCCCCTAACTGACTTCTTTCACTTAGCATGATGCCCTTTCAAGATTGGTATGTAATTATTTTAAACAGCTTCACTGAGGTATATAATTTATACAATACCTCATGCATACTAGGAAAGCTCTCCACCACTGTTTATGTAGGGAGAAAATTTAATTGATTATGTATAAAAGATTAGGCTGCTGAGATAGTTCATCAGGTAAACATCCTCAGGCTCCACACAGCGGAAGGAGACACTGCCAAGGTGCAGTGTGTGGCATGGCTGTATCCCACATACACATCCAAGAGGTAGGTGCTGTTACTAATCACATATACAGGTAAGAAAACTAAAGCACAGATGGACAAAAGCTTTAAAAAACTATTAAGATAACTTCTCAGACTTTTGGTTAAGACTGAAGGTTTATTTTTACCAATTTAATATTTGATATATTTTCCAAGTGCAATATATTAAGTGAATTTTACAAAGATATATTCTCTCTCTCTCCCTCCCCCGTGTGTGTGTGTGTGTGTGTGTGTGTGTGTGTGTGTGTGTGTGTGTGCATGAGTCAAGGTGCCCTGGGGCTGGTATACAGGCAGCTATACACACCCTGATGTGGTTGCTAAGCACTGAGCTTGGGTCTCCTGAAGAACATGCCCTTAAGCACTGAGCCACACCTGAGTCCCTATTAAATGACTTTTTGTAATATGAAATGGAATAGGAACTTTCTCCGTCCATATGCTCCTGACCAGGTAGTCTAACATCCTCAAAACCAATATACCTCTTCTCTTCATTACCTACATATGCACACACACATCCTGCCACATAACCAAAATAAAACAAAAATTAGGGATTAAAAATGGTAAAACTGAGCCAGGCGTTGGTGGGGCACGCCTTTAATCCCAGCACTCGGGAGGAAGAGGCAGGCGGAAGATCTCTGTGAGTTCCAGGCCAGCCTGGTCTCCAGAACGAGTGACAGGATAGGCTCCAAAGCTGCACAGAGAAACCCTGTCTCGAAAAACAAACAAACAAACAAACAAACAAACAAACAAACAAAAAGGTAAAACTGTTACCTCTCCTCATTAGTCCAATTTCTTTATCCACAATCCAGACAAAAATCTAGAATTTCACATTCTCTAATAATTTCTAGTCTTTATAATCATATATATTTTGTCTTTTAATATAAATTGAAAGAAGGAAAATATTACCTAAAAAGGGTCATAAGAAGGTATTTAGGACATAGTTTTGTTTTTTAAGCTGAATAGAAAGGTGTATATAGTATGCTAATACATCTAAAACCATTTATGTATATAAAATACAGAGAATGTTAAGAATTCACTGACAGAAAAGTTTCCTTATTTTTCATACATTACTGTCTTAAAATTTAATGGTTTGTTACATTTAACTAATTGTGTTTGAGTGTGTGTGTGTGTGGGGCAACTTGTAAGAGTCAGGTCTGTCCTTACCTATATGGATCCCAGGTCTCCAGGCTTTACCTGATGAGCCATTTTGCTTGCCATGTATTTTACAAATTTCCTGTGACTCATTTTATTTTCTGTAATTAAGAAATATTAAGTCTGCCTTTCTAAAAAACTTATTTTGTTATTATATGCATATATGTCATGTGTGTGCCTGGTGCCCAGGGAAGCTAGAAAAAGGCATCAGGTCCCCTGGAACTGGAGTTACAGGTGGTTGGGAGCCACCTTATGGGTGCTGGGAATTGAACCTAAGTCCTCTGGAAGAGCAGCAAGTGCTCTTAACTGCTGAGTCATCTCTCTAACCCGAGTTACTCTTTTTTTTTTTTTAATACATTTTTTTAAAAAATTTAAGTTAAAAACAATCTTACTTAAAATACCAACTCCAGTTCCCTCTCCCTCCTGTCGTCCTTCTTCCCGCACCATCTCCCCATCCCAACCACCATCCACTCCTCAGAGAGGGTAAGGCCTCCCATGGGGAATCACCAAAGTCTGTCACATCATTTGGGGCAGGAGCGAGCTGGAAAGATGGCTCAGCCATTAAAGGCTAGGCTCACAACCAAAAATATAAGAGTTACTAATTCTTAACTAATGAAACATAAATATCCAGGAGCTTCCTTTTTAAGTGACATTACTATGAACAAAGTCAAATAAAAGTGGGACTTGATAAATACTATTTTCCCAATCCTTCCTGCCAGTGGATTCTGGGTGCATTCTGTCCTATTTTTAATTTCATGCATAAGAATAAAGTTCATTTTTATTTGAACAGTTTCCTTGAATATCTAGCAGTATATGACATATATGATCCAAAGAATTTCTAAGATCAAGAAACTCATAAGATGGAAGTCTGGAATATGTGTGTCCCAGTACATGGATATTTGATACTATACTTACTTGTATGTTTGTGGTGTGTGTACACATGTATGTGTGGGCTGTACAGTGCCCATGCAGTCTGTAAAGGCCAGAGAAGGATTCAGATGTCCAGCTCTACCACTCTCCATCTTAATCTTCTTGAGACAGGGTCTCTCACTCAACCTGAAAGTTTGTGGCCAGCAAATCCCTTCCACTGTACTGGAGTTACAAGCACATGCAGTAATGCCTGGGTTTTTATGTGGGTGCTGGGAATTCTAGCTTGGGTCTTCATGCGTATACAGCAAGCACTGTTACCCACTGAGATATCTCCTCAGCCCACTTACTTGAGGTAAGTCAGTAATAAGAAAAGTACTGACAGAAATAGAAGTCCAAACTTAAAGCCAGACTTATTTTAGACAGACTGACTTTCAAACGATGAACACTAAAATGGCTGACTGGAAATGTACAACTGGCACTCAAGGAGCAGAGAGCTAATGTGAGCAGTCATCAGTGCCAGGGTGACAGGGAGCAGGGGGAAGAAAAGAAAGAAAATGATTCAAGGTGTAAGCTCATATGCCGCACAAAAACCAAAAACCTCAATATTCTACTTTAAAGTAGACAGCGTCTATAAATAAAGACCCAAAAACTTGGATGGAGTGTAGCTCAATGAAGGAACACATGCTTAATATGCATGAGGCCTGATGTCAATCATTCGCACCAAAACAAAAGCAAAAATGAGCCCAACAAAAATACCTAAGGTGGGCTTAAAAGATGGCTCAGTGGTTAAGAGCATTACTGTTCTTGCAGAGGATCCAAGTTCATTTCCTAGCATCCACATGGTGGCTCACAACTGTCTGTAACTCCAGTTCGAGGGATCAGCCACCTCTCCTGGTTTCTGCAGACACCAGGTGTTACATGGTGCATTACATAATTGCAGGTAGAAGATTCATAAAGTAAAACTAAGTAAAATCTTAAGTCTCTTGGTTTTAAAGCTTTAATTTCTATGGATGAGATATGAATTTGTATAATCATGTTACTTCATTAGCTGGAGAAATACCAACACTCACAAGAGACGAAGTAGGATACTCAATGATAGGCAAAATAGTTCCATTTCTCATTAGCACCTCCACTAGAATGTGGAGTCAGAAAGAAGTTGCCAAGTACATATTCTTAGATTCTGCTATTTAAAACAGCTTTAGTAAATGGCCTTTCACCAGAAAAACCAGAAAAGCAGTATTGACAGCAGGTCATTGTGGTGCACATTTGTAATCTCCGTACTTGGGAGGTAGGCGAAAAAGAATCAGGAGGTCTGGGTCATCCTCAACTACAAATGAGTCTAATGCCAGCCTGAGTTATACAAAACCCTGTTTCAAAAAGGAAAAAAAAAAAGTACTGAAAGCTGGAATTACAGATTTTAACTATCAGTGTTACTCCTAGTCTGCACCTTGTTATGACAGGGTAAATCAGAGCTAATTCAATAGGTAATGAATTCCACTTGTCTTGGTCTAGCATCTCATTACCATTGATAACACAGAGATAACTCAACTAATCCAGAACTTTCATTTTCAGCCATCACTGCTTGTTCTACACTAAGCAAGCTCCGAGACGCCTCATTTTAGAAGTACCCTATGCAGAAACCAATTCAGATCCTATGTGCCAATCATATATTTTGGTTCTCACAAAGCTTAGTATTACTCTACTAACACCATTAAGGAAGATGAGCAAGTATATTATGGAAAATTTTTAGCAATAAAACTTCTGTAATTATAAATATTCAAGGATATTCAAGGATCGATATAAATTTTAGTTCTCTCCTAAATCGGCTATTTAAATCTCTATCCTGCTTGTTTTCCCCTACAAATTTAGTAACAAAATACTGTCTATCACAAGAACTTGTATATTTTAAGACAGAAGCTAGGCAACAATCTAGAAGTTGTCTATGACTATATCAGTGATTATATCTACTTCATATTGAAAGAAAAAAAATTCCGTAGCTTTTATCCTCTGTTCTCAAGCTGTGTCTAGCAATAGCTACTAAAATTAAGTTTAGTGTTTTCATTTTTTTCAAGAACCTTGAAATTACACAAAACAATGAAACTCGAGCAGCCTACCAGCCCACACCCAGTATCAATAGCAGAAAGATAAATGTTGGTAATCTCTTGACTTTCAGCCGGGCAGTGGTGGCACATACCTTTAATCTCAGCACCCAGGAGGCAGAGGCAGTTGGATCTCTGTAAGTTCGAAGGAAGCCTGGTGTAGTTCCAGGACAGGGCCCAAAGCTACATAGAGAAACCATCTCAAAAATAAATAAATAAATAAATAAATAAATAAATAATAAAAAAATCTCTTGACTTCCACACCACTTTTAGGAAAATTCCAAAAAATCTAATTAATGCAGTCATCCAATCAGAGTCAACTACCAACCATAAGCCTCAATCCTTTAGTGAATCATCTTCCCCACCCTAGCATGGTTCTCCTCTATCAAAACAAAATAATGGATCTAACAAACCCCAGTTTCTACCTATTTAAAACCATCAGTACAAGGAGGAAAATCTAACACATAAGTAACACATTAGGAAATGTCCATCCACGAGCTCCTGCTGGCAGCTGCTATAGTGCCCACACATCCAACCCCCTGTACAGCATTCAGGAAACGCATCCCACAAACATGGCCACATGAAACACTGCTCAATACTGCTTTTAATGTTTAAAACACTCTTGTCACATTTCTCAAATAGAAACAGCTTTTATTATCTCCTCTAGTCATAAAATAAAATATTTGTAAAATAATACAACACAGCAAAAATGAATTAAATCTCCTTATGACAAAGTTTCAGGTATTTTGGCTACAAAGCAGTTCAGAAGATGTTATTTTAAATTGCTCTCTATCATGTCCTACCTTACCAATGACATGAGAAACGGTCTTTGAAAATAGTAGGTCTCCTAGATGACAAAACCTTACATGCATGAAAAGGCAATTTATTTTTTGATGATCATCCAATTTAATTTTATTGGTGTACTATTATTTATACCAAGTCATTCAAAGTTATCTCTAATGAATAATATGCAGATAAGTATCATTAAAATATTTTCAAATCTATAAATATGTGCCTAAAAACACTGTTTTCTTGTTGCAGTATAATCATTAAAAGCCAGAATTCAGAGCAACAATCATCATTTTGAAAAAGACATTTACGTTACACAAATATTAGATATTCCCCAGATCTAATATCATGCCCATCAAATAGAAAAATCATTTACAATGAATATTCCTACATCAGAAGTGGAACAGTACAGTTCACTCACCTGAACCTCACTTGTCCTCTGTTTAACTGTGTCTTCCTTCTCTTTAAGGTCCTGTTCCACATTGTTCTTTTCCCTAGAAGACCAGCAAACAATGCAAGAGTATCTGAGAACATCAGCTACAGCTGGTATGGCTATCCATCCTCCTAAGCCTGAATCGCTTTTTAAATACATGTTGAAACATTCAATTTTTAAATAAAGGGCAGAATTTTCTACCCTCTTTAAATTATTTATGGAATAGAAATCAATATAAGCTCTATTTGCAAAAAAAAAAAAAATGCCTCCTCACTAAAATGTGGTGAAAAGGATAGATTAAAAAAGGAAGGAGCAGAAACTAATCAATGGAACACTCAGGTTTCACTGATCTCACTGTTGCTATGGTGATACCAGCCAATGAAAACTGCTAGTGAAGAAAAGGAGGAGTTGCATCAGCTCTGTATGCTTAACCCTTAACTATCACTGTCCTATTAAATAAGAATGGCTGATAGAAACAGTGAACAATATTAAGAAAGAAAGCCTGTGTTAATTTCCCTTAAATCACTAGTGTGCATCAATTTTAGAATGCAGCAACATAGAAAAATGTAAAAGATTGCTACCAGCTAATACTGCTGTATGAAATATCACATTTACTCCAAAAAGGTCTTTTGGGACCACCTATGAAAGCCAATTGGTCAGAATACAAGATCATGCACATTATGTTTAAAAACAGTCCACAGGAGTGATCGAGCGTTATGTCTGTCCCTCAAATCAAACACACAGGGCTCTCCTTTGAAACATCACTCCAAATTCCTGTTTTCTTTTTTTTTTTTTTTTTTTTTTTTTTTTTTTAACAGAGCTGGATTCATACGAATGTATTTCAAAAAACTTAAAATTTAAATTACAAAATAAAGCTATTTCTTTTCTTATAACAAGTTTAACTTGCCATGTTTACTAAAACCACTCACATGTACTGCTCTTATTTTCTATAAAACGAGAGGTAAAATGCCACAGAATTCTTCAGCAATACATGGGGGTGGGGAGAAAGCAATATGGAGAGGGGAAGATAGCATTTAAGAAGCCCTCTAGTCTAGTACAGCAGAGTTTCACCTTACCAGGTCATTACCATGTTTCAAATAGCTAACATAACTCAGTATCTAACAGAACCTAAATGTAAGCTTGGATTTCATTTAGCTCTATCATAAAGGAAAGTGAAGAAATTAGGCCAAATACATAAGGAAGAAACTACATGCCTAATTTGTATGTCTTATCTTGTTGAAGTCAGACTTTGAAATACAGCACCAAATCAGTTGTTTTGGATATGTAGGTACAATGATCTTAAGATTTGTGTGGAAGAAAAAGGCATGTGGATAAAGCTATTTGTACGCTGTTACTTTTAAATACCTGAGATGGCCAAGGAGCTCACTAACCATTTGCCAGATGGGCTGCAATGTGAGTCAAGATGTCGTGGAGATTTTAAACAGTCCCTTACCATTCGAATCATGATTGCAATCTTCTTTCCATTCTTCAATGTATTTACTATGCAGAGGCCACCCCCTACCTCCACCCCTTATCAAATTAGGTGAAATTAAAAAATAGAAAATCACAAGAGAGAAAAATCTGAAAATACAGCACAAATTCTGCTAGCTCAATCTTGGAAAAATTTCCCCCTCCTTATGTGAGCAGATGCACTCTGCTCTCTTCAATCCTGCTGCAGTATGTCAGAGATAAGTCACATGAAAATCTAGCACCCCCCACACACACACCCAAGCGCCACCCCCAAATCCTCAGAGACATTCCACACAAGGTCAACAACACTTCAGCTCCATTTCAGACAGCAGACAACAAAAATAGAAAACATCAGAGATTGCCACTGCAGACTCGAATGTGGATGAGCATCATTTAAATTCGTTCTGATGCTTTTTTTTTTTTAATGCAAACAGCACGAGGCTTTATTATAGTTGTTTAACGAGGTAACCCCATGTTAGCTCGGGTCTTTCATCCATCCACCATGGCGGATGGCTAGAAAGACAGCTCGAAGAGTCTTCGTAGAGATCTTATAGGGCAGTTCTGCTGCTCTTTTAACTCTTGTTACTGACAGTGTCTGTTCAACCCTCTCTGTGCTGCTGTTAACTCCTGTTACTCACAGTGCCTGTTCCGAAGATAAAATGTGCACAAGGAAAACAGAGCTGTAAGAAGGCAGTGAGCTGACTTAAAGTAGTGAGACAGGAGAGTGGCAGAGCAAAGGAAGCTCACTTGGTGAAAATGTAAGAGAGCTCACAAACATTTGGGGCTTTTAGCAGCAAGCATCTACGTTTGAGTAAAATGGAAGATGATTGAAGAGTCCCAACTGCTGCTTATAATTTAAGGTATCTGGAGAGAGGGGAGCAATAGAAATATCTCTAAACATATGAAGACCAATTTCCAAAATAAAATATGAGAATCTTTAGAAATCATTTCTTAGTTGGGCAGTGGTGGCAAACCCCTTTAACCTCAGTACTTGGAGGCAAAGGACCTCTAAGTTCGAGGCCAGCCTGGTGTACAGAGGGAGTTACAAGATAGGCTCCAAAGCTACACAGAGAAACCCTTTTTCGAAAAACAAAAAAACAAAAAACAAAAAACAAACCAACAGAAATCATTTCTTAGCTCAGAGATCAAGAAAATTTAACTTCTAACTCATGTTTAAGTAAAATTTTGGTCCTTTTAATAATTTCTTAATTATGGACAAAACTAAGTGCCATAAATAGCCCTTACCAGACAATATATGAAAATTAATTTAGAACACTAAATTGTTATTCTGTTGTCTTGAAATAGCTCTTAATCTGTAACTACACTCTTGTTTTAAAAACATTTAAACATATATTTAGATGCTTGAAAATTGATTTGCTCTATTTTTTACATTTTTTCTTTCTTTAAAAATAAATATGTATATTTTCTAATGGTAATTTATAAATAACCAATACAAAACATTTTTTAAAAGTTGTATGTGATGCCAGGTGGTGGTGGTGCACACTTTTAATCCCAGCACCTGGGAAGCAGAGGCAGGTGGATCTCTGAGTTCGAGGCCAGCCAGGGATACACAGAGAAACCTGTCTGAAAAAACAAAACAAAACAAAATTCTACTCCCCCAAAATTTTATGTGTATTTTTTATAATTTAATATATGTGTGTGTGTGTGTGTGTGTGTGTGTGTGTGTGTGTTCCTATGTATATGAGCAGGACAACATGTGTGTATTTGGGGGTGGGGGCAAGGTAGATGTGTCTTCCCTGATCACTCTCTACCTTATGTATATTGAGGCATAGTCTCTCACTTGTACCTGGAGCTTGCAGATTTGGCTAGTCCAGCTAGCAGCTTGCTCAGGGGATATTCTGTCTCTGTTTCCCATATTGAGATTACAAGCAGACCACTATACTTACCCAGCATTTTATATACTTTCTTGACAAGTGTATATGCCCCGATATTACCTGATAAGCCATCTCCTCAGCCCTCAAAGCGTTCTTAACATATTTCAAAAACTTTTCAAGGCTTTGTATCACAATTAAAAGTGATATATTGAGTTTCCCAAGCAGCCTCTAATATACTATATGGATAATAAAGAAGTACTTTCCAGAAAAGAGGAAAGAAATTATCCTAATCATCCTTTATTTAGACTATCTCTCTGTCCTATTCACTCCTACATGCTTGCATGTCCTGAGATCCACAATATCAATGCTACAGATAGGAAGGGATAGAACTGGCATTTGGAAGGCTGACAGTTTTGATCTGTGTACCTTCACATCAGACCCATCAAGGAAAGTAAAGCTCAAGCTTTTAGACATCCATAGTGGGTAACTGCAGAAACTTAACATGAAGTGGTCAAATCCAAGGGCAGTCAGTTGGGTTAGGAAAAACCTCGGTCCACAATTGACTTCTATTTTTCCAGGCTAAATTTATAGGGAGGATAGAGGGAACCATCTGTCTTAACTTTGATCCGATGCCAAAAGTATTATGGACAGGATTAAATCATTTTTTACATCCTTCCCAGATATGTATTTATTGCCATTTTTCTGAACATAGCATCCATCATTTCCTAAAACTAAAAATTACTAAGAAGCTAGAAAGCTTGTAAAAACTCACAAAAATACAGTTTTTCAGTGTTGGTATTTCTTGTAAAACTCATTAGGTGCAATATAAATTTAAAAGTGTTAGCACTATGCCTTCGGGCTATGCCTTGAGCTCTGGGTTTCCAGCTTTTTAAGCTGTCATCCATGCTGGGGTGGGCTTTGATGATGCAGCTGTCTTTGAGTCACTTCTGCTTCCTATTTGTAACCACTTCTCCATATTCCTGTAGCTTTACCCCAATAAAACTCATTGGTTCACAAAAAAAGAAAAAAACCTACTAATTTCTATTACAAGTAAAGGGAGGCATGCTAGCTTTCATTAAATACTATTCAGTGAGGTGCCTGAATTTTAGAGTAAGAAAAACAAAACCCAGGAGACCTAGATTCTAATCCAACTTGCAATGAAACTGTCTGACAGAGGCCAAGTCTTATTTTTCAAGTGTGAATGCTAATATCATCACTATCTTGAGTTAGGATGCCAAAATACACATGATAGAAGATATAGGCTTTGAGCCTATGTATTAGTTGTACTTAAACAATGTTGACAGAATACTTTTTAAACCTGTAAAAAGGACTTATGGTTACAAAGCAAGATTACAAACCCCATCTAAAGGATGGAGCTGGAACTCAGTTGTACAGCACTTAGGACACATGAGTGAGGCAGGTACCACCCCCACTAAGGAGTGGGAGGGATGGCAGGAGGGAGGGAGATAGACATGTAAACTGTTGAAAAGAAAAACTATCAATGAAGAATTCTGTACCCGCCAAGCATTGTAGACACATTCTTGCAACCCCCCAGCACTTGGGAGGTAGGAGCAAAAGATCTCCATGTGTTCCAAGCAAGTCCCAGGCTAGTAAGAGCTACTAAGTTAGATGTGTCTTTAAAACAAACAATAACAAAAATCCTGTACCTGACAAAACTGGCCTTCAACTATTCCCAATAAACAAAAACTAGTAAGTACTAGGCAATAAACTCAAAGGCATATATGACAATGTAAATGTTTCCTGAAAAGGTAAACACATGAGCAAACACAAGAAATGGCATTACTACAATTTTGATTCACAACTTCATTTCACACTTTCTGTAAGATGACAGCTGGGCATTGGTGGCACACGCCTTTAATCCCAGCATTCAGGAGGCAGAGGCAGGCAGATCTCTGTGAATTTGGGGCCAGCCTGGTCTAGAGAGTGAGTTCCAGGACAGGCTCCAAAGCTAGAAAGAAACCCTGTCTTGAAAAAAACAAACAAAACCAACAAAAAAGATTTAAATGGCTGAGCTGGGGCTGTATCGGCACACACCTTTAGTACCTTTAGTACCAGCACTTGAGAGGCAAAGGCAGGCAGATCTCTGAGAGTTAGAGACCAGTCTGGTCTACAGAGTGAGTTCCAGGACAGGCTCCAAAGCTACAGAGGGAAACCCTGTCTCAAAAAAAAAAAAAATTAAATGATAAAAACATTAACAACTGTATGTTAGTAGAACACAATCTATAAAAATATCTGTAACAAAAATGAACTAAAAGAACCACAGTTTTATATGTGACTAAAATAGGTTATACAACAATTCCAACTAAGTTCAGACTGAGAGCTAGGGCTGTAATTCAATTGGTAGGCTTCATGTAGCCTTTATGAGGCCCTAGGTTTAGTCAACCCAGTACACCTTAAAATTGGACACCCTGGCACCCACACCTGTAATCCCCACACTCAGGAGGTAGAGGCAGAGGTTCAGAAATTCAAGACCATCCTCAGGATAGCAAGTTTGGATTCATACTAGGCTATGTGAGACCATGTCTCAAAATAAAAGAGGGTGTGGGAGTGGGGAGCTAAGTGGAGTTGGTCAGGATGCCCATGGATGTGCAGCCTGTCGTACTTTGCCAACATGCTGGGTGTGCTGCTCTTCTTGCTTGTGGCTCTTTATCACTATGTGGAGTCAACTACCCCAAGGAGCAGAGCTAAAAGTGATGCTTTCTCCACCCCAGAGTTTCAGGACTTTGTCTAAGGTAATACAGAGGTGGTAAGGGGCCTTCATCCTGAACTTCATGTCTCCTACCCATCACAGCACACAAAGCAACTACACTTGGATTTTTTTTTTTTTTACAAATGTTTATTTCCCCAAAGTTGGGCCTACTATAGGGCTGCTGTCCTTTCTGCTCTTTCCCCAACACAAAAATATGCACACACAAAAAAATACACACATACATTCAAGTGTTCAGTTTTGGAAGATTAAGGTTATAGCAATTATTGATAGCAATAACCAATGTACTTAATATCACTTAAAATGTACACTAAAGTCGAGTGTGGACAACACCTGCAGTCCCAGCTACCCAGTTACTTGGGAGGCCAAAGCGGGAAGATTTCAAGTTCAAGAATGGACAAATACATAGGGAGTTTTAGATCAACCTGAGCAACTTAGCAACATTTTGTCTCAGAAAAAATTTATTTATTTGTTTTTCTTTTCTTTTTGTTCAAGACAGGTTCTCACCACGTGGCCCCAGCTGTCCTGGCTGGATTGGAACTCACAGAGATTCGCCTGTCTCTGCTTCCGAAGTGCTGGGATTAAAGTGTGTATCACTAGGCCCAACTCAGCAAACATTTTTAAAGAGCTGGAGATATATAGCCCAGTGGTTCCTGAGCACTCACAGAAGCCTCAGGATCACACTCCAGCATTAAAACAAAAGACAACATGCAAAATGATTAAAATGATAAATTTTATGTCATATACATTAATGATTAAAAGTTAATGTAAAAGAAAAAGAAAGCAAATGTGAGAATTTCTAGATAGACTAAACCTATCTGGGAGAGGCACATGTGGCAAGGAAAGCTGAAATGGAGCATCAGAGACAATCATAAGTGAGCTTTGGCACTTGGCAAACATACAGAACTGCAGCACACAGGAAATGCTGAGCCCTGGAGGTTTAGACCAGACCAGACTTTGTTTCTGAGCTGTGAATAACAGGATTTAACAAGACAACTCTTCTTTTCTTTTTGGTTTGAGGGAAAGAGAGGAAGCAGAGGCTTTTATTACTCAACAGCTGATGACAATTGTTGGGAAGGCAATTCAACAGCCTGACTTGCTTATTTTGGAAACTCTTAGAAATCTAGCTAGATTGGAGTAATAACTATACACAGGTGATGACAAGTTTTAGCTTTTCATTCAAACTGGTCTAAAAGCCAATTAGTTATCTTTTTATTCTGAGTCAATTAAAAACAAGTTGAGGACAGAAACTGATTTTTACTTTAGGTTTTTTTAATGTCTCTAAAATTAAAGTTGGGCCCCTATATATAATCTGTTGGAAAAAGAAACATTAACTATAAAATATTAAGATAAATGCTATAAACATTTAAGAATGTATGATATATACGGTCAATTAATTCTCTTAGTTCTGGGCTAGCTGTTTTCATTTTTTTTGGGGGGGGGGTTTAGAGACAGGGTTTCTCTGTGGCTTTGGAGGCTGTCCTGGAACTAACTCTTGTAGACCAGGCTGGTCTCAAACTCACAGAGATCCGCCTGCCTCTGCCTCCCGAGGCATGCACCACCAACGCCTGGCTTAACTTAAAATATTTTGACAAATGTCATTTCATATATAAATGTAACACACACTGATAAAATGTGACTATAACCTAAAACAAAGTTTTAGAACTCTTTAGCTTCCATAGGATAGTAAAAAAAAAAATTTAGTCATTAGTTATTAATTATTGGTAAAAGCTTAACTGCCCAAATAAATAGAACAAATATTAGAAATGGCAACAAAGATAAAGAGTATTTTAGCTATGGTGCTCTAATTCCTATTACAATAACTATAAAGGCATTTTATGCATGAAACAACTGTTCAAGTCAAGAAAGCTAGTGTAGAACACCAAAGAATGTGTCTGTTTACATCAGTTTGAGAGGCACAGAGACAAATATTTTCCTATTTAGCTGTTTAAGCATTAATACATACTCATACAAGCAAGCTACAATGTTTAATGGAGAAGGCCTTGTGAAAATCAAATCTAAACATCATTAAAGACATAGTAACCAAATGTTCACTTCTATTTTGAACCAAAGTAGTAAAAAGGTATAAGAATGTGTGTGTGTGTGTGTGTGTGTGTGTGTGTGTGTGTGTGTTTGTAGGTACATGCATATATGTATGGGTGTGAAGGCAACAGGTCAACAGTGAGCATCTTCCTCAATCACTTGCCTTACATTTTATTTTAAAAAAAGTATTCTGATTCTATTTAAGCAGATATATGGTATTTAATTTAGTAAATACCATTTCTCAAACTATGCATTAGAAATGAGGATATGTTTATGTAATACACATATATTTTACATATAATCTATATGTGTGCCTATAAAGTCAGCTATATTTTTATTTTACATACCTCTGTAGATCAACTATTTCATTGTTAAGGGTATCTAGTTCCTTAATAGCAGAGAAATCTGCAACAGGACTTGATCCTGTGATGGTCTAAAAACAGAAAAAAATAAATTACTATTATAAATTCTAAGCACTCAAAATGCTAAAGCTATAAAGGGTAACAAGGTATTCTACTTTACTACATCATTAGCACTTTTAACTCATTTAATAAAATACTTTGAATAACCATATATACATAATTGTTATTATACATACACTTGTATATTAAGACAGTTCCCTTACATCCCCCAGAAAGCTATTATTCAATAATATGAATACACATATCAGATCCCATTGCCTTTGTCACGTGATCCTAGTTTACCCCGAATTCTGCAGTAAATAAAACACATGCTAGATTAAAAATGAATCCCTTGACTGAAATGTCTTATTTACCAGGGACAGGGATGAAGATTTATTTCCACTCACATCATCTGGCACAGAATAAGTACACAGATCTTGTTGACCCTCAGAATTATAATGGTGGTTCATTTTATTCAATTCAACAAATACTAACTTTTGTTAAATGTTTTTATTATCTGCTCTAACCTAAAACCAACTAACCAACTGCTCAAATATGTTCTATAATAAATAATACTATTACCACATATGTAACTCTGTATATATGAAATCTTTCTTATTTATTTATTTATTTGTTTGTTTATTGGTGTGTATTAGTGTTGTTCTGCTTTTTTGTTTGTTTAGGTTTTTTTGAAACAGGGTTTTTCTGTAGCTTTGAAGCCTATCCTGGAACTCACTTTGTAGACCAGGCTGGCCTCAAATTCACAGAGATCCGTCTGTCTCTGCCTCCTGAGTGCTGAGATTAAAGGTGTGCGCCACCAACACCTGGCTCTATTTTTTTTTTTTTTTAAGACTTGATTCTGTGTGTCTGTGTGTATGTGCATATGCATGCATGGGCACAACTACAGAGAGGCCAGAAAAAGGCATCGGACCCGTTTTAGGTGGCTGTAAGTAGTCTGACCCAAGTGCTGGGAGTCAAACTCCAGGCCCTCTGCAAGAGCAGTACACACACTTAACTGTTAAGCCATCTGTCCAGTCCATTTTTGGTTTTTGAGGCAGGGTCTCATTTACCCAAGACAGTCTTAAACTTGTTATGGAGAAAATGGTGACCTTGAATTCCTGACCCTCCTGCCTCTACCCATAAGTACTAGGATTACATGGGGGCGCCAATATAACCAACACATAGTTTTCTTTTAATAAGGATATCAGAATTAAGTTACCAAATGGTACTTATATACATACAAAATCTAAGTTTAATCTAGATTGTGTTATTTTGTTAATTTTATCCTCTTCACCAGAAAAGTGGAGAAGTAAATGTCTGCCCTGTCTACTTAGATCAAATGAAGTAATTTTCTTTTTGAACTCCCACTAATGTCCTGTTTAGCTTTCTAATGTCAGAACAAGAGGATAACTGCTCCTTTAAAACTCGGATTTATAGACACTATTACAATGAGGTTAACAAGTAACAGAATCATCAGCTTTTGGAAATCGTAAAACTGAAACCTGAATGTGTGAGATCTAAGATGTATTAGTGACCTTATTATCGGAACATAAAACTACTGTTGTGAATTTAATGTGTCACCAACTCACACAGCAGAAGATATCTCAAAGTTCCATAATATTCCATTTCCTCACCCTTACATCATTAAAATTTACTACGAACTGCTAAGCCCATCAAACAGTTCTCAAAAGTAATCTGAAAAGTGGATCACTGGGAGTAAGTACTAACTAAATTTAGAGCTGAGGAAAGAAACCAAGTGACTGTTCAAAGTTGAACCCAGCTATTATTCTGATCAAAAGTCTTCTGATTAAATACAACTGTCACTTCATATATGACCTTTGGCCTTTGTATGCCAAAATAGCTTAGAAAACACTGTGCTTAAAGTAAACTTGGTAAACAGGTTGATAAAATAATTCCTTCTTTTTAAAAAAATATCACACTGACTGCTAGTATTGAATTGTTTTGACTATCAGTGTTAAAACTCATCTATATATTCAATTAGTTATGCTTCAAATTTTATATATAATTACAACTTTACATCAAATATACTTCTTTTGGAAGGGCAGTTGAGACAGTGCTTCCCTATGTAGCCCAGGCACTCTTGAGCTCACTATGTAGCCTTGGCTAGCCTTAAACTTATTGTAAACCTCCTGCCTCAGCCTCTGGAGTACTGAGGTTACTAGTGTACATTGCCATAATGATTCTCAAAAATATCTGTATTACTAAACCCCATTGATCTACAGACTGTTACTGATGCTATATTAAATTAATAATTTTAAAGAAGATATCTGCATGAGATATTCACTAAGTTTTCACATTATTTAAACCTGACCTTTGGGCTAGAATGAGTCAGGCAGGTGAAAAAGAAAATGAAGAAATAGAATTTGATCTCATTTTCATCACTGAGTAACTTCTATCACTTAAATGCTACTGAGAAGTGTTCTACCAGAGGTGCAAGTATACCAGGAAACACATGGCTTCCACACCTCTTCTGTGATTCCAACTTTAAAAAGTGAATCATATTGGACAGTCTTTGCTACTAAAATACCAACAAGCAAGAAGATAAAGTTAAATAAATTAGTTTAACCTCAAACAAGTTAGAAGGTAATAGCTCTGTATGACTAAAATGGCATGCAAGCAAATATGGAAAAGGTCAACTCAAATTCAGTACAGCACGTGAAAGGCACACAGAAATGTAGCATACCCTTTTTAAAAATTACTTTATTCATTTACTTAATTTTGAATTATTTTTTATATGTATGGGTGTTTGCCCACTTACAAGTCTGTGCACTAAATGAGTGCTTGGTGCCTGTGGGACCCATAAGGGGGCTTTGGATCCCACGAAACTGGAGTTACAGACGGTTGTAAGCTGCCATGCCTGTGAGTTGGGAATCAAACCCAGGTCTTCCAGAAGAGCAGCCAGAACTCTTAGCTGCTAAGGCATCTTCCACACACCCCATTTTTGTTTAATTTGTATGTGTGTGAGTGTTTTATCATACATATGTAAGAACACCATGTACATATAGTGCTGGTGGAAGCCAGAAGAGGGTATCAGCTGCAGCAGTGCCCCCTAGAACTGGAGCTGCAGACAGTTGTAAAGTCACCATGTCAGTGCTGGGAACCAAACCTGGATCCTTTGGAAGAGCAGTCCATGCTCTTAACTGCCGAGTCATCATCTCTCTAGTCCTGCATGCACCTTACAAATACTTTCTCTCACATTGGTTTGTGAATTTCCCGAAAGCCTCACCTTAGTGATTTCAAGTGGACTAAGGAGTCTAGGGAAGGTAAGCCACAGTGCAAGCAAGTATCAAGGGACACATGACAAAAGCATGCTGACCTACTGTTTTCACTGTTTATTAACTTTTATACATAAAAGCACTCTAATTTCAAAATATATCATGTAACTGAAAAACTGTAATACTAAAATACAACAAAGACAGCATAAAATAAAGCTCTAACCTTGAGAGAGAGTAGAGTTAAGAAACTGACAGTACAAGAAAGGTGAAAGCAGAGTGCTGCAGAATGGAAAAAACAGTCCAAACTAGAAAAAACACAAAGGAGGAAAGCGACATTCAAAAAGTATTAGTTGAAACTACCAAAAAAAAAAAAAAAAAAAAAAAAAAAAAAAAAACTTTTTTTTAAATTAAATTTAAAAGGAAAAAAAAAATTTTTTAAAACCAAAATTTTAAAAAAAAAAAAAAAGCAGTACCTTTTTTTAAATTCAGATTATAAGGAGAAAAGAGATTATTTGAAAGCACAAATTTTAATGTTTTGGCTAATAGATAAGGCAACAATTATAAAATATTCCAATGACTCTGACACTATGTGTTAAGTATACCTTAGTATGCTCTAGTAAATGGACTTTTGAGAAGTCTAATTACAAACTATGTCAACAGATACAAACAACCTCAAGTGTCTCTAGCATACAGATTTCAGGAACAGATAAAATTGACTCAGTAATTTCTGTTGTCTTAGAAATTAAGAGTTGGTGAGAGTTTTAGTCATTATAAATTAAGAATGCAGAAGGAAAAACTCTACATAAGTGGAGTCTACAGTGCTACACAGCTGAGGTATAGAATAGAGCACAAAGCATCTAAGTATAAATCAGTATCCTTCATCTTTCTGTGTAGCATCACTTTCACCCTCTCGGCAAACTAGGAAACATGTCATACATCAAAGAATCTAAAGAAACAAAGTACAAAAACTCATTCATATATCAAATTCTCAGGACTGGCAGATATGAATTTATTTAGTTTACTTGGGAAAAAAGTCCATTTTTGACATTTGTTAGATTAAAATGGAATTTTTAACTATGCTATGAAATTAATGAAAATCAAAACATTCTATTGGTACTTGAAAGAAAGTTCTTAATAACACTCATTTGACAGCTCCTGTTACTTACAACCCTGAAAAATCACTACAGCAATATTTATATTACAGGTGAAAAGGGATTTAAAGATACAAAGTTTGGGTGGGATGTTTTATTTTGTTTGCGTTTTTTGATTTTAAGATGAGGTCGCCTTGCACTGCCCAGGATAGCCCTAAACTTCTGGATCCAAGAATTATTTAGCTTCAGCCTACCCAGGAGCTAAGACTACAGGTTCAAACGATACCTGGTTATTTAGTTTGAAAAAAGTAACTAAACCCACCATATGTAAGTCTTTTGAAAGGTCTATTACAGACCAGGATATTGTATATGTGCTATATTTAAAAGGGTTTTTAGATAAGGAAGAAAAAATTCAAAGTACAACAGGGTTAAAATGAAGATGTTTTGAAAATTCCCATTGCTGACCAGAAACCCAGCTAACTTCTAGATGTTTAGATATGAAGTATACATTCTACGGCAAAGAACACATAGCGATGTTCCTCAACATACAATTTTTCTTGAAGGTTATTTTGATGTAAAATTTGTACCAAGCAATCACTATCTCCTAGATTTTGTTTCCAAATTTGTATTGTTTCCTGTAAGAGTGAAATGTAACAATTTAATTCTTACAGCTAACATTTTTTTCCTTCTTTTTTGTTTTTGGTGCATGCTTATAATCCTAGCATTTGGGAAGTGAAAGAAGGAAGGATCAGAAGTTCAAAGTAATTCTCAGTTACACTGAGTGTTCAACAAACACCAAGCTGGGCTACATGAGACCTGTTTCAAAAAAAAAAAAATCCCTTCAATTTAATAAAGTACAGTTGTCATATGAGTAATGAATAGTGGGGTTGACAAACTGCAGTTCAAGGATGCTACAGAAGGGACGTGAGCATGCTCACAGATACACACTAAACCAACAACAGAGAGTGCTCTGCCCCTCCACCTTTGTGACTGGACACAGGCATGCAGGTCTTCTTTGAGGTTATCTTACCTTTTGTACACTAGACCTGTCTGATGGTGGGATCATCTCAGGAGTGAGAATATGAGGAGGATCAATGCCCTTTATTAACTTTTGATTGATTAAGTGAAAAGCCAAGGCAAACTGGTCTTTTGAAAGCTTCCCACAGCCCTTTGTGTCACACAGTGCCCTATATAAATAAACAAAATGAACAATACATAAATGCTACAATCATTACTTCAAAAATCCATGAGAAAAATAAGATTTTAACTTTTTAAAAATAATGAGTTGAATTGAGAAAGACAGGTCATACAGCCTATTTAAAACTCACATAAATGTTACAGAGGTGTACCAATCTTAGTTTCACCTATAAGTAAAGATACTCTTTTTGTGAGGAACCATAAGAAAGACAATGTATGATTAAAGCCTGAGCACAGCACCAAACCCATTTGTGACAGTTACCTTTGTTATGTGTGCTTAACCTAGGCACTCAAAGGTTGCTGATTCAGCTATGCAAGTGCTTTTCCAGTCTGAATACTTATCTCTTTTGAGACAGATCCACTATGCTTTGCTCTCCTCTTAAGTTTTTCTTTGCAACTTCTTGTGTTTGTTGCTTCTTAAAAACCTCAGAATAACATCTGGTATAGTAAGCCAGGGTGGTGGCAGGCATAGGACAAAGCGATTTCATTTGCATTATCACATGTAATATGAACTGCATTACCAACAAACAACTGTCATACAAAGGTAAAATGCACATATCTCTTACAGGACTAGACAGGTACACTCTTACTTTTTTATTTAAATAAAAACACAATCTTGTACAAACTTTACAAAACCCCATCTAGCTAAACGAATGTAGCCATTCAAACAAGCAACTGCCTAACCAAAAGTCTATACACCTCAATGAATATATTCAATGCAATGAATACACACAGCTATTCTGAAGCTATAGCATTTTGCTTACATGTTTATGCACAGAAATTTAACAATATATGACAGAGTTAAAACTAGAAACACAAGTTTTATTCCCTCTTTCATGACTCATGCATTCTTTACCTGTACTCCATCCTTCCTCATCACCCTTTCCTGTTCTCCTACTACACGTGACATTTACTATTCTCACGTATATATATATTTGTTTGCAGGTATACATGTATAAGCTACAGGGAAGGACCCACAAGAACACCTGCAATTTTTCTTTCTGACACCAAAAGATATTTGCACCCCTGTTTATTGCTGCTCTATTCCCTATATGAAATGAGACCAACAGACCTCCATCAACAGATAGATGGCTATATATACATATACATATACATATATACATAAGGATACCCAACAGACCTCCATCAACAGATAGATGGCTATATATACATATACATATACATATATACATAAGGATACCCAACAGACCTCCATCAACAGATAGATGGCTATATATACATATACATATACATATATACATAAGGATACCCAACAGACCTCCATCAACAGATAGATGGCTATATATACATATACATATACATATATACATAAGGATACCCAACAGACCTCCATCAACAGATAGATGTATATTATTCAGTTCTAAAGAAAAATGAAGAAGAATTTTTTGAGACATGGTCTCATTTATTCCAGACTGGCCTTAAAGTCATTATATAGCTGGGTAGGACCTAATTGATCTTGCAACTTCCATGGGTACTGGGATTGCAGGTGTATGCCACCACACCCAATTTATATAACACAAGGGATCAAACCCAGGCCCTCCTGTATGCTCTATCTCCAGCCCCTAAAGGCACTACTTATTAAACTGCTTAAATTTCAGATATCTGGATTCTTTTAAGAACATCTAAGATTTTTAATTAGTTTAAACAAATGAAATGTTGCACTTTTTAAAGTTCCCACTTTTGAATTTTGTTCATTGTACCCAATAATTCTTCAGATTTGAATTTCCTCTATAAAAAAAATGAAACAGATAATAACCTATTGATGTTAATTTCCAACATGTAGTCACGAAATGGTCAGGATATATTTATTAGGTAAAATGCCTTACTTACAATGCTCCCTAGCCAACCGGCAGGAAAGCAGAGCAAGCTGAAGCAGCCGTGAAAAGAGAGGCGGCTACCATGTGCGTTCCCTAACTCTTTAAACTTCTCCCACATCACCCTCACATCACCTTGACCACGCCCTAATGGGGCCAGGCACATCTGTAGGCTTGATTACGGTGTCTCCCTACAATAACCAGTTTTGGTGATATTTTGTTTGTGATCTAACAAATAAAGCTTAGCCATAGACACCAGGCAGTACACACCTTTAATCCCAGCACTCAGGAGGCAGAAGCAGGCAGATCTCTGTGAGTTCAAGGCTACCCTGGGCTATGAGAGAAACAGAGCCAGGCAATGGTGGCTCACACCTTTAATCCCAGCACTAGGGAGGTGGAGACAGGAGTGGCTCCTGGCTGGGCAGAGAGATGAATGTAATGAATATAATGCAGGAGACAGGAGCTCATTGCATTCAGTCTGAGGATTCAAAGGAACAGGATTGCCCCTTTAGTCTAAGGATTAAGTAAAGGTAAGAGGTCTCTCTTGTGGCTGGTTCCTTTACTTCTCTGACCTTTCAGCATTTACCCTGGTATCTGACTCTGGCTTTTTATTATTAAGACCTATTAGAATTCTTGCTATGCATATTCACAAAAACTAGTAAAAAAAAAAAAAAGAATGTATAAAAACTAGAGTTGTTACAGAACCACATATACACACACTTTTTAAAAAAATTCTATTAAAATAAAGTCTTACCAAATGTGGGCTAGTAAGGCAGAAGGTAAACCTGTTTTCAGGAAGGTTTCACGGACCTCCATCCCAGATACATATCCGTCCATATCCTTATCAATTTTTAGGAAGATTTCATCATATTTAGCCTTTTCTACAGGGGTTACAACCCACTGGAGAGAGGAGAGAAGTTTCAGTCAAAATGAAGCTAACTTTGAAATGATATTCTTTCAAACATAAGAGTATCTGTCACCAATCTGAACAAATCTACTCAAATAACTTTGATGTCAGTGCACTGATTCCCACACATCACAACCAAACAGTATAAAGAGAATGCAACAAAATTACAAGTCAGTTAGGACTACATTTACTAAGATTTTCTTTTAAGAAACCAGTGAACTCAAGCATAATTATGCCCTGGTCTATAAATTCCCACACTAACACCAGTATCTGGAAAAACCTGTAAAAGAAATGATCTAGATAATCCCCAACCTTCATTTTCTATTGTTTCATGCAAAATTTTGCCCAGAGCTGAACTTGTACAGGCTGTCATTATAGTTGGCATTACACAAACTGACTAGAGATAGGCCAGAGGTAGTAAGAATTGATCAGAATTAGTAATGTGATCTGAAGAATAAGGAGTTAACTACAGATTTTAAACAATTATATGACAGAGAAAGCATGCATGTTAGCATACAGTATCTTCTATGTCCACCTTTGATCTCTAATAGATCAAGGCAAAACCAGTTAAACGTCCACAGGACCTAAGGAGCATCTGCCTCCTGTGGGGCATCACAATATGCAGCGGGCTCAACTGCTCCTTCCATCTTTATCAATCACTTCCATGCACTTTGTTAAAGCAAAATCCTTTAACACTGATAAATTTCTACCTGTCTTAACGGTGCTGTGGTAGGTAAAATGCCTACAGATGGTAAGGAGTGGTAAGATTCCTTGGCTGCTGAAGAGGGGATCAACCACATGGAGCCTGATATACTGACCGTTTTTCTCTTAGAAGGTGGCACCAAGGCTGGAGGCAAGGACATTGGCACAGGTTCTTTCTCCAGTGCACAATATACCAAAAACATGGCCTTGAAGATAAACAAAACAGAGTCAGATATATATATATTTAAATTATCATAAAATTCACTCATTGAATTGCTCACTGTTCAACAACAAATCATTTTCAAGCTGTCTCAAATTTTTTTGGGGGGCATAGTTTGAGACAGGGTTTTTTTGTGTAGCCCTGGTTGTCCTGGAACTCACTCTGTAGACCAGGATAGTCTGAAACTCAGAGATCCACCTGCCTCTAACTCTTGCTCACAAGTGCTGGATTAAAGGCATGAGCCACCAAGGCCTGGCTTTTCAAATGTTTTAAAGTAAAGAGAGAAAAATAGGAGAAAAAGGGGAAGAAATGTAAGAAATACTCAGTTACAAAAACTTGGAGGCACACCTTTCGTTTGAAGTTCTTGTAATAGCAAAGAATATAAGAATTTGAGTAGAAAATGCTACTACAAAGAAATAATCTTCTAGTATACAAAATGCTCCTAGAAATTAATAATCTAAATTCAGTAAAAGATAGACAAAAACTATGAACAGTCAATTTACAAAAAAATGGACACCACAAATGGCCTGTCCTTGAATACTCTTGAACTAAAACTACAGATTAAAATTACAGTGGGTTAACATTTTGCCTAAGTAGTAAGATTCCTAAGTTCCATAATGTACTTGGCAGCTAAACTGTGGGGAAAGAGCACTGTCAGACATTGCCAGTGGGCACTGAAGGGTAACAGATGCCACTTTTGCAGGATTATTTGGGGCAGAGGGCTACTGGGCAGCAGATAACTTTGCCTTAAATCACTACCTGGCCTCAGTTCTCAAGTGCTAGGGTTACAGGTGTGAGCCACAGCCTCACCCAACTTTTCACAGCAAGGTGATGGTATATCAGAAGCACTTACAAAAGAGGCACTACTGCTAGGCTGTATTTACTGTTAACTACTCATCTATCCACCTTCTCAAAAGTTTGTGACCTCTAGTGACTGAAGGGCCTTTTTTTTTTTTTGTCTTGTCACTTACCTAAAACTTTATGTATGCTGAAGACAGTGTAATAGCCTGAGCTCTAAGCCACTTCTTGGGGAGTTTTTCTTTTCCTAAACTGTCTCCCAGGTATACATGAATTATACATATTAACTAATTTATTTTTGTTTTGGGAACATGTCTTTTGTTACATGAATCCCAGCCAAGAACTTTAAAAGGCTAGAGGCAAACTGGCCACCAAATTACAAATGTACTCTTCCCTTTGGCTCAGCCATCTCACATCTGGGAACCTATCCTTACATTTATTTGCCTACATATAAATGCTTCATGAAAAAGATTATTAACTACAGAAACTGTCTGCATTAGCATCCAACTGCCCATCAATAAAAAATTAACTTAAAAATTATGGTATACCTACATCATGAAAAACTATGAAGCAATAAAAGAATCATGGGAAAGCACTGTGGTATTGCCTTCACAAATGTTAATTTCCAGACTGACCCAATCAGATACTTAAATTGGAAGCAATCCATTGTATGCAGCTTCCAAAAGAATATACCAGGATAAACACACACACACACACACACACACACACACACACACACAAATTATTCTATGAGAAAATAAGCCCCACGTTCTAAAGCACACTGATAAATATGAAAAAGTAGTGGGGCGATGAGAAGCACACCTTTAGTCCCAGCACTCAGCAGGCAGAGACAGGTGGATCTGTGTGAGTTTGAGACCAGCCTGGTCTACAGAGCAAGTTCCAGAACAGGCTCCAAAGCTACAGAGAAATTGTCTCGAAAAAACAAAAACAAAAGCCACACAACAACAACAAAAAGTAGTGCTGAACACACACCTCCACTGTTTGTGTGTATAGTGTTTTATCTTCTATGCTAAACAGGAAATACTTATTTACTATTTATATATATTTGGACCAGGAAATTCAAGGAGAATAAACTAAGAAAAGTAACTGGACAGAGAAGACGAACTTTATCAGTGGAGGGTAGGGATGGATCTTTCTGACTATCTTCTTGTATTAATTTTGAACCATTAGAATATATTATCTATTTTTGAATCTTTTAAATTAATAAATATTTAAAGGACATATATAAAAAAAGAGGACAATCTACCTATTGAACATACCAGGCTATAATCTATCCATTTTATTTACTTTTTTAAAACTTAAATGTTTGTGTCTATTACTTGTATAGAATAATGTAATATCTCCATTTTAAAGGTGTCAAAGCACCATTCAGATTTTCAGAAATGACATTTAGGCTTAAAAAAAGGAAAATCATACAATAAAAATGAACAGTAGGTTTAATCATATGAAATCACTCAAAGTGGAGGATCTAGAAGGATTCCAGTAGCAACTAGGAGAGAGCGCACATTATTGATTTTCTTCCACTGAAAATCATAACTCTCAGCTGGGAGAAAAAAAAAAGAAGGAGTAGAGGAGAAGAGGAGGAGGAGGAGGCGAAGAAGAAGAAGAAGAAGAAGAAGAAGAAGAAGAAGAAGAAGAAGAAGAAGAAGAAGAAGAAGAAGAAGAAGAACAACAACAACAACAACAACAACAACAACAACAACAACAACAACCATCACCACCTAACACTCTTAACAACAACAACAACAACCACCACCACCACCTAACACTCTTTGGGCTTCTATCTTAATTCCTAAATTTGAGTTGTTTTCAAATCAGTACTTGAGTACATAATACAAATGTGATCCATAATTTCTATGATGGCTAATGTTTTATAAATGAAGAAGCTGAGGCCGAGAGATGCTAACTTGCCTAATACAATATTTTAAAGAAGCCATAGGTATAGTATACACTAAGCCAAGCATACTGTCACATGACTATAACCCCAGTATTCAGAATGGAGAGTAAAGGATTGAGTTTGAGGACAGCCTAGGTTATACTAGAGTCTGTCTTAAAAATAATTGGTGTGTGTGTGTGTGTGTGTGTGTGTGTGTGTGTGTGTGTATACATAGTACAAACAATGATATCCTGGCTACAGCATTCTTGATTGATCGAAATTTAATCAGCATTAACAGCACCTGTGTAGTAGGTTACACTACCACAATTTCCTTTATAATTAGAAAGACTAAACCTCACCTGTTGGCCCCGATTATAGAAGGCATCAGAATTACCTGGACAGCTGAGTAGTTCTATAATCAGAATTCTGGAATCAGTAAAACTGGCATTGGGCCGAAGAATCTGCATTTCTAACAAGTTCCCAGGTAACTCTGATGCTGTGTATCCAGGGATAGTACTTAACCAGTTGACCCAAAACAAGCCTTTTCCACACACTAGCCAACCAACAAGAATTCAATGCCAGTTTGAAAACACATGAACACTATGCCTCCAAAAACTTGAAGCTCCAGAAAGAAAAAAATCTGCCTAGCACATCCTCTTCAGCCAAGTTCACAATGTATGCAGTATCAGATTGGCACTTTGCATGCAACAAGTGACTTGCATGCATATAAAGATCAGCATTTTCTTGCAGCAGATGGAAGTAATTTCCTGGAAAAGTGGACACTAAACAACAACAAAAGCAATGCTTGACATCTGCTGCCAATAGACAACACATTTTTTCCTGAAAGCTAAAGTTATTAATTTCATGTGTCTTGAAAACAGTTTCCCCAAGAAAACTAATGCCAAAATTTTGTTCACTAAATAAATATTAAAGGTGAACAGAGTAATTTTAGTACTGTTGGACTTACTATGATCTTGTTTTCATCTTCTATTGTACTGTATCCTATACAAAGTCTACAACTGAAACAAAAACAGCAACCAGATCAAATGGTGCCCCCAGCCCCACCTGCCCGGGTGTGTGCATGTGTGCATGGAGAGAAGAGAAATGCTAGTTTTCAAGCTGGTACACAGTAGTTGAGTATGAATGTAGTTACAAAAAGAGATACTAAACTCAAAAACTTTTAGGATACCTTTTTATTTAAAAATAATCACAAACAGACCTAAACTCGACACAGAAAGGATTTAGTTGGGATTACTATCAACTACTGACTTTCTTTGAGAGTGGTTTTCTCTTTGTGTTTTAAGCAACATTAACTTTCAATCTGAGGGGCTTGCTTTGTTTTGTTTTTGTTTTTCGAGACACAGTTTCTCTGTGTAACTCTAGCTGTCCAAGCTCTGATGGCCAGGTTGGCCTCAAACTCAAAGAGATCTGCCTACCTCTGCCTCCTGAGCGCTGGGATTAAACAGAACCACTGCCGACTCTAGCATTAAGCACAGTGCCTGGTGGTCAGGCATTTTTCAGTATTTTATTAATGCTAGAAACACTTTCCTTCACTTTCATAACACAAGTGAAGCAACATGAGTAAAAAGTTAATTTCAGGGCTTGAGGTATAGCTCAGTAGCAGAGTGCCTGCTTAGCATTTGCGAGAACCTGTATTCAATCTAAAGAACCACAAAAAGAAAGAAAGAAAGAAAGAAAGAAAGAAAGAAAGAAAGAAAGAAAGAAAGAAGAAAAGAAGGAAAGAAAGCAATTCAAATAATGTGTATGTGATGAGCTAGGTAGTTGTGTCATTGGTGCATGCCTTTAGTCCAGGGAGGCAGAGGCAGGGGGATCTTTTTGAGTCCGAGGCAACCTGATCTACCGAGTAAGTTCTGCCTCTGCCTCCCAATTGCTGGGACTAAAGGTGTGCGCCACCACAGCCCAGCTAAATTGGAAGATATTCTACAAGCTATCAGGCTAGTACTCCTTAAAAAAAGTCAAGGTCATAAAAATAAGGCAAGAATGACAAACCGTCAAAGACTCAAGAGACTGAAAAGACACAGCAACTAAATGCAGTGTAATACTATGAAGCAGATCTTTGCCCAGGGAGCTTTTATGAGGTAAAATCAAAAGAAAGTATGGAGTTTTAGAGCAATTTACCAATGTAGGTTACTAAGTTTCTACAAAGGTCATTCTTGGATATACAACGAGTGTGAGTGTAAGACCTGACTGGGCTAATAATCGGGCTGTTACTCAAACTCAACCAAAAAAGGGCCCAGCACAGTAAGATGACTCAAATGGTCAAGGTGATAGCTGTGCCAAGTCTGTCAATCTGAGATTGCTCCCAGATAAAGGTAGAAAAAGAGAGCGGACTTTGATGTGGTCTGTCACACTATGCCATGTCACCTGTGCCCACATACACCGGTAAGTTTTAGAAAAAAAAATTGAAAAAAATTTGAAAGTGGGAAAGATAAAAGCTGAATTGGATTGAAATTAAAATGTAAAACAAAAGGATAAATAATTCTAAAGAATGGATGTTTTGAAATATCACTGACTTAATGACAGATTGAACCAAAGAAATAAAAAGGACTATGAGCATAAATATGAAAGATTGAAAATGAGGAAAGACTACCCCAGGCATAAAAAGATTTTTAAAAATACAAGTTCATGGGAACAAGTTTAAAAGTAAAAACAAACAAAAAAAACAATTCACCCGGAGAGATGATTCAGCAAATAAGAGCTTGTATTACCCTTACAGAGGACCCGACTTCAGTTCACGGCACCCATATCAAGTGGCTCACAACTAACTATAACTCAAACTCCAGGGAGATCTGACACCCTCTGGCCTCTCCAGGCAACTGCCCTCATGTATACATACGTGTACACACACACACACATACACACACACCAATTCTTTAGGAAAGCAGGTAGAAAATTTAAGCAGACCAACAAACAAGTAAGAGTACACAGGAGATCACCGATTTATCCCAGTTGTGTGTATGTACATATGGGCATGGGCGTGTACAAGTCAGAGGTCAATGTTTTCTTCCTCATTTACTCTCCATCTTATTTTTTGAGCCATGGTCTCTCACTGAACCCAGACACTTGCAGATTCAAGAGCATATTCTCTCTGCCTCGACAGCTTTGGGATTGTAAGTACTCACAGCCACACCTTCATTTTTTTTCTCTCTCTCTTTAATTTAGGGTCTAGAGATTGAACTCAGGTGCCATGAATTCTTGAGCTTGATTGAATGAAAGCACTTTAACAACTGAACCACTTCGCCTGCCCCTATTAAAGGTTCATCTAACTTTAAGGAAACAATAAATACCGTATCTGATGTTGACTACTTAACTGCTAAAATAGGAAAGATCTTTAAAATAAGGAAAGATGCCAAAACGTTTCTGCCTCATCAGTTAAAATGAAACTAAAGTGTTGCTCATGTTTCCTTTTAATGAAATAATGTGAATTAGGAAATACAGTTGAAGCAAGATTGACATAATTTAAGACCCCCCCTAAAATTACCACACCATTATCTTTACAATATATTAACCAAGTATCTTTCCTAAGTACCTAAAGTGAGAAAAAACACACACATTCTCTTTCTCATAAAAAATGTGCACTCACCTATAAATCCTAAAATGGTTAATAACTTCAATCTGATGGACATATACTAAGGATAAGTTAAAATGGAAAATGCTTCCCAGTACAGGAGGCACACACTATAATTTAAGCAGTCAGAGGCTGGGTAGGAAGCTCATAAGTTCAAGCCCTGTTTTAATCAAATGGTGGAGGTATATATGGATGGGGGAAAAGTTGTCATTGTAAAATTAAGATATTTCACATTTTAAGAACATTTGGTTACTTACAACTGCAAATTCATCTCTGTCAAGCTTTCCATCATGGTCAATATCACTCAACTCCCAAACCTTTAAAAAGAGAAGTGAGAACAATTAATGCTCTTTTAAGTTATGTTCTATTTAGGAACAGGAAGAGAAAGTATACTAGTGAATATGAGAATGCCTGGTTATTAAGTGCCTTAAAAGGAATCTGGACTTTATCTTAACTGCAATGAGAAGTTACTGGAAGGTTAGTTTACAGCAATAAAATAAGAATATTCAAAGTTTAGGAATCTCACACTGACTGCACAACAGAGAAAAGGATGGAAATAATATTAGAAAATAGCTTTTAAAAATCAGTATTTGCAAGGCATGGTGGATCTGAGTTCAAAGTTAGTCTGGTCTACAAAGAGAGCTCCAGGACAGCCTGAGTTACACAAAGAAACCCTGGAAGGGGGAGGGGGGAGATGGAGGGAGGGAGAGAGGGAGAGAGGGACAGAGAGAGAGAGAGAGAGAGAGAGAGAGAGAGAGAGAGAGCTCACCTAATAACCCTGGGGCAATATTACACAAAGAAACCCTGGAAGGGGGTGAGAGATGGAGGGAGGGAGGGACAGACAAAGAGAGAGCTCACCTAATAACCCTGGGGCAATATTACACAAAGAAACCCTGGAAGGGGGTGAGAGATGGAGGGAGGGAGGGACAGACAAAGAGAGAGCTCACCTAATAACCCTGGGGCAATTGCACAAGTATTTCTGTCAATGTGATCGTGGTCACCACCATAGCATCTAACATTCTATGAGTTTGTAACATGTACTGTATTAAGTACATATACTACTATCACATTTAATCCTTGGAACCCTATCAACTGAAAATTATACCCAATTTAAAGACTTGAAAACCAACACACAGTTTTTCCCAAAGTCACCTAAACAAGCAGGGCAGCCAGGATTTGACCCTCTGTAAACCGGCTGCATATACAAGAGCTGGGGACTTAAGTGGTCATGGTTTAGAACATGAAAGAAGAAAGGAGAGAAATCACTTTGGAAACAGCACAAAAATGGCAAGGAGTAGGAAGAAACCCAGATAAAATTAGTGATTATGAATTTCTTTAACATTTCTCAAAAGCCAGTATGCAACAAAAGAAAAGGTAAATAATTAGCATATGCAAAACTGAGTTTTTAGAAGCCGGGTGTTGGTGGCGCACGCCTTTAATCCCAGCACTCGGGAGACAGAGGCAGGTGGATCTTTGAGTTGGAGGCCAGACTGGTCTCCAGAGCTAGTGCCAGGATAGGCTCCAAAGCTACACAGAGAAACCCTGTCTCAAAAAAAAAAAAAAAAGAAAAGAAAAGAAAGAAAAGAAAAAAGAAAAAAAAATTGAGTTTTTAGTAATATCAAAGTCAAAGAACTAAAGTCTTAAAAACATTTAGGAAAAAAGATCTATATAGGAAAGCAGGAAATTCAAGTTTAGAATTTATTATTTCATCAGGTAAGATATTGCAGAATGTAGAAGAAGAGCCAAGAATAAAAGTATGGAACTATGGATGAGCACATATAAATTAAATAAAGAAAAAATAATTTCTGAAGACACCAAGATACAGCTTTAATCTTACCAGCTGAAAAAAGTCATGGAGATGATGGTACTGGTGGCTGACAGCAATGTCACTATGCTTTGAAAGGACCAGGCCAGGCCTCACTAGGGCCTCATTCTAGCCTTCATGCAAATGGTTCCAGAAAAGGCAATAAACAAAGGACAATTTACCTTCAGCAACCCTGGTAGTAGGGTTACCAGAGAAACTGCACATACTGGACACAGGCCAGCCCCATAGTATCTCAAGGTAATGACCAAATAAGGTCAGGATCTAGGATTTGTCTAGCCTGCCCCAAAATAAGAGAACAATAGCACTCACCAGCCCCCTAACTGACCCTAGCCAATTAGAACATACTAATATTATTGCCACTTGTTTAAGCCAATTGTAGTTAAAATGACCTAACTTCCTTAGGCACCCTCCTTAGTAAGGCTTAAAAGAAGCCTCCATCTCCTTCTTGAGGGATGGGAGGTGTCTTTCATCATCTTGTTTTTATGTGTGGCAATACCCCATCGTACCGGAATAATAAAAATGCTCTTGCGATTGCATATGAGAATGGTGGGTTTTTTGTGGGATTTCTCCAGGACTTTAACAGCAGAAAATTACTAAGCTTAACATTTAATACATGAACTATACAGGCAGAGGAGATAACTCAGTTAATAATAAAGTACTTTCCATGCAAGCACAAGGACCAACACACACACACACACACACACACACACACACACACACACACACACACATAAAAAGACAGGGGAAATGAAGAAACCTGAGATCAAAGAATCAAGTCTAACAAACATCCAAACATCTAGGGAAAAGATTGAGAAATCCAATCAGAGAGCAGAATTTATGGTTTCACACTCCTTTAAAACAAGACCCTATAATATATAGGATAAGGTCTGGGCCTGAGCTCAGCAGTTAAGAGCATTTGCTGCCCTCCCAGTTCCCACATGGAAGCTCACAACTGCTTGTAACTCCAAGTCCAAGGGACCCCTCACCTTCTTCTGTACTCTATGGGCACCTTACTTGTATGTGTCTACCCCCCCCACACACACGTACAAATAATTAAAAATAAAAATAAATCTTAAAAACATACAGACAGTCCCTTAAAATCTGTCAAACAACTAGATTATTCAAGTATACATGCAAAGAAAACCAGATCTGCTCAATGGACTTACATATGTAACTAATACTAACCACTCAAATATTTTATAGAAAATAACTAAAACCAGAAATACAATAATTTACATGTTACAAATACAGAAAATCCTGAACTAACACAACTTAAATAAGAACTGTCTATATATTTAACAATGAGCTCCTGCTAAGTATAAAATTAAAATATATCGGGCTGGAGAGATGGCTCAGTGGTTAAGAGCACTGACTGTTCTTCCAGATGTCCTGAGTTCAATTCCCAGCAACCACCTTAAATGAGATCTGGTGCCTTCTGCTGGCATGCAGGCAGAAGACTATACAAAATAAATAAATAAAATCTTTACAAAAAATTAAAATATATCATAATTGCATCTAGCACAATACTGCAATCCTAACACTCATGAGGCTCAGGCAAGAGGTCCTTGAGTTCCAGACCAGCCTGAGCTACACATTAAGATCATCTCAACTCGTCTCAAAAAACCAGGAACAAAAAGAAAAAAAAAAGGACCATCTCATAACAAACAAATAAATTACATTTAAAGTTTGCTATCTTACTCTTCCAAGGATTTCCACAGGTAACTTAGAGTTGAGTAATACTGGTTTCACTTTATCACCAGACAAAAATCCATCCACTGGGCTTAAACTATCAAAAATGGCATCATATTTGGCTTTGTCTTCAGACTGCAATATGAATAGAAAGATGGCAAGTTAAACAATCACAAAAAAGGATTTAACTGTACATATAAGAATCAAATCCTCAAATAACAGACAACAGATTTTTTAAGCTAACATTAAAAAAAAACATTTAATCAAAATATATCAAATAATTTCAAAGTTGGAAGACTAGTTGCTTTTCTACTGTCAGGTTAGACTCAAAAAATTTCAGAAACAGATGCTTTGAGGAACACTTGTCCACGCACTCACCCTGACCTACAGTAAGAAAGTAGCTTTTCTAAGAAGACACTGGCAATGACACTCTGTCTTAGAATTCAAAGAAATAAAATGTTTTTAAAAATTACCACAAAATGGCTAAGAGACTAAGGCATTACTCAAAACTTTCTATTTCAACATTTTTCCTACACTCCTTGAACATGTATATGAAAGTCAATGTAAAACAATATATTTTGAGAATAAGGAGAAAGGTATTTATAAGTAGGAAGCAAAAGAGATGCAAGAAACTTGTTTACCTTTACAGCCCAAGGAAGCTCGGTGGCTGAAGTCCCTCCAGTTAGCAAAGGACTACTGGAGTCATGCTAGGAAATAAAAAGAACAATGAGGACTCTCTGAAGTCTTGAGGTCTACTGAGAGCATGATAAATATGGTTGGTAACAATATGCTATATTTTAAAAGTTGTGAGATAGTATACTTTAAGTGTTCTCAAAACAAAAATGATGAATATGTGTGATATAGCATGTTAATTGGTTTAATTTAGCCATGCCATTGTGAACATACTGTATTCTGTATCATAACTGTGCATGACTTTATTTATGAGCTAAATAAATGAATGAAAAAAAAAAGAACAATGAACTGTCCAAGGCCTCATACCAGTAATCAAAGAAAAAAATGTGGTTTTGCATTTAAATGTATTTATGCAACATGCTGGGTATCAACACTATTTTACTTTAATTAGACCTTCATCTATTGTCCACTAAAATAGAAACTTTTCCCCAGTATTATTTAAGGAAAGCAGACCAGAAAAACAAACTTATGTAACACTTACAAGTTACCTGTACATGATACTTAATCTAGCTGAAGAGACAAGTAAATACATTTGAAAAATGTCTACATTAGATACCTAGCCAACAAATACCTATAACAACCCTTGTAAGTTCATATCTAAACAGAGAAATACAGAAATTCTCAAAACTGAACCTAGTTTTTTTTTACTTTATTTTAACGTATATGGGTATTTTGGCTGAATGTATGTCTGTGTACATGCCTGGTGCTGGGGCAGACCAGAGAAGTGTGTTGGATCCCTAGTAACTTGAGTTACAGACAGTTGTAAGCCATCATGTGGGTGCTGGGAATGAAGCCAGGGTCTTCTGGATGACAAGCCAGTGCTCTTAACTGTTAAACCATCACTCTAGCACCCTGAACTTAAAAGCCTTAATTAATACTTCCAAAATATTAAGTTTTAAAGAAGAAGGATTGGGGATATCTCAGTGGTAAAACACTTGTCCAGTAGATGCAAAGCCCTGTTTAGCTCCAGCAGCACCAAAATTAAATTTAAAATTAAAACAACAGCCATTAAATTTCTGAGACTTTGGGGGTGGGGTTGATAAGGTATACATACCATATATACAGACATTTCCCAAACAATGATAATCAAAACAATGTAAAATTGGCACAGAGATAAACAGATCAATGAATAAGAACAGGAAAATCCAGAAAGACAGAAAAATGCATATGGCAATTTAGGTCATTGTTGATGTGGCATTTGAAATTAGTATGAAAAAGAATGGTCATTCAGTACACTGTATTAGTTCTATATGGTAGCTATCATGAAAGAATGAATTTGAATCCACACTCACACTTCCACCAGGAATAACAAATATAGAAAAAGAAAAAATAAGTTTTAGTTTTGCAATTTGTTTACATAAAACAATTTCATCATGGGAGTAAAAACATAACCTAGTAAAAGACAAATGACAAATTAGAAGACTATATTTGCAAATGATATAGGTGCAGAGTTAACTTGCTACTTTTTAAAGAACCTCTAGAATTCAGAAAGAAAAAAATAATCAAGAAAAAGTCACAGTCTAGAATTAGACATTCCCATGGCAGAATAAAAACCATTCAGTGTCTTAAAAGCTAATCAATCTTACCTATAAGCTAGAAAAACAAATCCAGACACTAACACACCACTTGCCACCCAGCTGACATGATCTATACTCTGACAACAGCATGAGAGCAAAAGCACAAGGAAACTGACATGTCAACCAATTGCTGGTAAAAGTGAAATCATACATGCAAAACTCTTAAAGACAATTTCACTTTTAACCATTTACAATTACATTTATGCATATGGAAAATGACAAAGTTACTAACTGTTGCATCATTTCTTCCTTAAAAAATTGTCTATTTGAATTTACATAAATTATAGTAAACAAAGAAATACTATGTAAATACTAAATAAAGTTTGTTACATCTCTAAAAAGGGTATGCAGTCAAATACATAGAATGTTACCATTAGAAAATTAATGAATGCATATTTACATTTTTATATGCACATATAACTCTGAAAGACATATACAAAACTAGCAATAGCAGTAGTTACTAAGAAGGAAAACCAGGAAGCTAAGTGATAGGGATTAAAGCAGAAAAATCAAATATGTTACTTTTTATTTCAAATCATGTGATATAGTTTTTTTGTAAGTATGAATGTATGTGTTTGTGTATGTTTCTGTAGGTAGGGTCTCTCACTTAACTCAGAGCTCACTTAACTCAGAGCTCACTGATTCCGCTATGCCCTGAGGAATCCCTTCTCGAATTCTGGAATTACAGGCAGATCACTATGCCTATCCAGCCTTTTCCATGGGTACTAGTAATCTGAACTCTAGTTCTCATGCTTACAGGGTCAAGCACTTTATCCAATGAACCTTCTCCCCAGCCCTAATCTTTCTAATTAAATAAATTTACATACAAAATCTTTTCTTACAAATCTTGGTGGGGGAACAGCCACATTCAAGCCACTGAGTGAAACTTCCAGTCCATTCTGGGCACATGCCACAAGCCGCAAAGCAACAAAGAATTCCTGACAAAGAAAAACATAAACATTAGCATATTGTCTACCTTCTTTCAAAACCTACTTTATGCAGGACAGTGGTGGCGCATGCCTTTATCTCAGCACTAGGGAGGCAGAGGCAAGTGGATCTCTGTGAGTTGGAAACCAGTCTGGTCTTCAAGAGCTAGTTCCAGGACAGCCTCCAAAGCCACAGAGAAACCCTGTCTCAAAAAAAAAAAAAAAAAAAAAAAAAAAAAAAAAGAAAGAAACAAACAAACAAAAAACAAAAAGAAAACCCTACTTTATGATCTGAAAATATAAAATAATGCACAATTATTCCACAGTATTATGTAGCATTGTTTTACATTTTCAAATCATAAAGTAGGTTTTGAAAGACCCATTTCCACACTGTGAATAAGCTCTGAAGTGAAATAATTCTTCGTTAAATTTTAGCTCTGTGGCTTAAAACTGCAATGCCATGGGCAATTTAAATAAAATTTTTCCCTAAAAGGGACAGTCTAATACTATCTACCTTGTAATGTATCGGGAGCAATGAAGTAAAACTATTCTGTAGGTGTAAAACACCAAGTGTCATTTTGTCATACAGATTTTCAGTACTGGTTCCTTTTATTTCTTTCAAAAGTTAATCCAAACAGTATTATCTTTGGGCTGGGGAGGTGGCTCAGTGAATAAAGTGCTTGCCATGCAAGAGTGAGAACTGAAGTTCAGATCCCCAGACACAATAAAGCTGGATGCAGTAGTACACTTTTGTGATCCTCGCATACTGCAGCTAGAGGAGAGGTGGAGATGGGGGTCGGCGAATGCTCATGGGTTACCTGGTCTGGCATACACAGCTGAAAAGCTACAAAATTCCCACCTCAATCAAGGTGCAAAGTGAAGGCTGACACCCGATGTCCACATGTACAACAGGGCACATACACATGAACATGTACACACATTAAACACACATATTTGCTATCGTTTGGATCTTAAATATACCCCAAAACACACACCAAGCTCATATGCTAAAGTTGTAGTACCAGGAAGTCAAGAACTTTAGGAGATAGGGCTTATGTAAGTCTTGAAGGAGTTACTGGGACCCCAGACCCTTCTCCTTTTTTTTCTGTCTCAGCAGCAGGAAAGTGAGCAAGCTTTCATCCACCATTCCTTACTGCTTTGATGTTCTACTTTATCACAGACCCTGAAACAATGCAGCCAAATAACTGTGGGCTGAAATTTCTGTAACCACAAGTCAACACAAATATTTCTTCAAAAAGTCAAAACAAAACACTGTGCCTTCAATGTAAACTCAAACTTCAATGGCAGACCCATATATCTAGCAACCTGGATGTAACAAGGACAACTTAAACTCATCTAATGTCCCGGGGTACCAGTGAGGAAGTTATTGTATTACAAATCCCTAGGAGGAACTACATCTGTCACATTCACCTTTGCTCTTCTAAAGCCTGGCTCTTAAAACACTTGGTGATTCAGTGGACCATACCTGAGTGCCCATGTCTTCAGTGTCTTGAGCTGGGCCTTCTACCTAGAACCTCAAATGAGGATTACTACAATCTAGCCCTGAAATCCTAATTAAGAGACTGGGTATTCTACTCTGCTCTTCAGAGTGTATGGGTTCAATTCCCAGCGCCCACATGGCAATTTACAACTACCTGTAATTCCAGTTCCAGGGGATCCAAAGCCCTCTACTGACCCCTACAGGCACCAGGCACACACGTGGTACACAAATATGTACATACAATGCAGGCAAAACACCCATACAGATAATTTTCCTATAAAAGAGGGTATTTTGACTCTATCATTAATTATTATTCTCATCCCCTTTCTGGTTTTGAAACTGTTTTAGCTATGCTCATAGGGGAAATGAGTTTTACACAGTAAGTAAGAGTATCGGGATATAGCAAACTTCCAACAAACCAAACATTAAAGTATATGAATGGTATTCAATACCTTTGGCTATAACCACTTCCACATATTTATAGACTAGAGTGTACTTCCATCATGTGCACCACCTTTTGGTTGACACGAAAGAAATAAAACAAAAGAATTCAGATCTGATTAGCCCAAAGACTCCTTTCAAAAGTCTGGGCTTATCTACAGTAACACTTACTAATAAAACCAATGTTTACTTATGATTTTGTATACTCAAGAAATTTAATTAATAAGATACAAAGAACAATGTCTGTAAGAGATATATGGACTATATAAAAGCTTCAATAAAACAATGTCACCAAACTTTAGCATTCAGATAGCTAAAATGTTCAGTAGTTAAAAATACTTCCAATGAGCCAGGCGGTGGTGGCTCAGGCCTTTAATCCCAGCACTCGGGAGGCAGAGGCAAGTGGATCTCTGTGAGTTCAAGACCAGCCTAGTCTACAAGAGCTAGTTCCAGGACAGTCTCCAAAGTCACAGAGAAACCCTGTCTCAAAAAAAAAACAAAAACAAACAAACAAAAAACTTTCAATGTTAAGGCACATGGTCTTGAATTTTGAGCTTAAAATAAAAAAAATCTGCTACTTTTTAGTTCAAATCTCTCAATCTTACTTGTTTGTTCAGGACACCTTTGCCATCTGTGTCAGCTAAATCCCAAATCTGAAATTTAAGAGGAAAAAAAGAATCAATCTCTTTATATATATATATATACATATATATATATATTGTAACAAAAATCACTTAACTCCCTGTAATTTATAATTTCATGATCTATATAAACAGATCTAAGACTCATTGGAAATTTTTCAGTAAAACTCTTTCACAAAGACATGAAGACCCAGGTTAGGAAATCTGGCATAAGAACATTAAAGGAATGAGGAAAAAATTAAATCCAAGTTCCAGGGCTTCTAGTCAAATGCCCTTTTCACTAGCCCAGAGTTTAACTGAGAGTTAAATGCTGTATACTGAAACATACTACCCTGATCACAATTCTAATATTAAGATGAATTTTTCCTATGGTTAGCTAATTTTTATCAATGAATTATGAAACTATTAATATTATTTTTAAGATTTTTACTATATATCAGTATCATGCATAACAACTTGGCAAGAGAGGGCTTTCCCTCTCTGTTCTTTCCAATCCCTCACTGTGCTCTGTACATTAAACAGAGGCAGCTTTATTTAGGAAATAAGGACCGTCCAACTGTTTGAGTGGGTAGCAAGACTCCTTCTCTGTACTGTTTCTCCCCACAATACTCAAATGTGTAATTACTTATTTCATCCTAGTCAAAAGTGATGTTTCTGAAATGCACAATATCATCTTAATTTTCTTTTTTATTTATTCTTTGTGTCTTTCACATCATGCATCTCAATCACATTCATTTCCCAGTCCCTTTGTATCCGCCCTCTGCCCTTGCCATGCCACCCCCAATAAAATTTAAGAGGAAAAAAAAGAAAGAACAATCAATCTCATCATGGAAGCTATAGTGTGACATAGTGAGACATGCTGTAAACCCCAGATAAAATTTAAGAGAAAAAAGAAAAGAAAGAAGAGAGGGGAATCTCATCAATGAAAGCTGTAGTTTGGCATAGTGAGTCACAGAGTAAACCCTTTAGTCCATACATCTTTACTTGCAAGTGTTCATTGCAAAGAATCACTGGTCTGGTTTGAGGCCTCTGGTTCCTGATACACTGTCAATACTGGGCCCTCTCTGAAACTCCTCTTGTTGCCCTGTGTTGAGGAAATCCTACAGTTTTGGGTCTGTAGGACCCGTCCCCTTTAAGTGTACCAACAGATCACAGATAGGGTGAATGTTGGAGTGGGCCAATTTATAACCTGGGTAGTTGCAGGGTTGGTCAGCCCACCAGCTCTCTTTTGTCCTTACCACCAGGGCGAGCTTTTCTGCACTGCCTTGGCTAGTTCACCCTTTGCAGCCGTGAGCATGGGGCAGGGCCAGTTCTCCTACTTTCACATCCTCAGGGGCGGTTCTCCCACACCTACATCTTCAGGGCCAGCTTTACTGTGTTGCCCAGATGTGATGTAGGGCCATTCTCCAGAGTGCTGCAGCTGATGAGAGGCTGAAACAGCTCTCTCTCTCTTATGACCTCAGGGCCAGCTCTCCTATCTGCCTCAGGCATTGATGGGTAGGTGGTGAGAGGTGGAGAGGCATCTTTACCCTACCATGCTGCCACATGACAGATGAGTAATGGGGACAACTCTCCCATGCTCACAACTTCTGGGCTGGCTCACCCACACCTCTGCCAATGGGTTTGGTTCTACTGTGCTGCCCAGGCAAGGCCTAGGGCCTACTATCCAGAGTGTTACAGCTGGCATCACTTAATTTTCAAAAAGATAAATCATACCCAACAACCCCCATCCCATTACTACAACTGCTCCTATGACTCAGTTCTAGCTTGTATGTTTCTTGATTGTATCCTTCTGAATTTATTTGCAGTTCTACTGTGCTTCTCCATATTCATTATAATCTAGTTACAATAAGCACATCCTACCTTTCCGAGAATCAAGTCTGGAAGCCCTGATTTTTTCAGGAATGCAGCAGCATCTGAAGCCAACACCCTTCCAGTGTTGCCTGTATCAACCTGAAAAGACAGAAACAGGAAGCTGACAATAAAACACAAAATCAAAATTATACCACTTCTCCATCTCTCCTCCCTAATTTATGAACTGGAACGAGAATCCTTGTGCTAACAAAAGCCAGGCTTCTGAAGAGCCTTCTAAGACTGTTACCATCCACATAGGAGTCAATTGGTAAAATATGTTTATCATATCTATTATACAAGTAAAAAAGCAAGCTCATGAACACAGATTTTTATGACTGTCATTTAAATGCCAATATAAGAAAAGAGTATTTCCTGGAGATCTTCTGAATAGCTGAGTATGATCTGACTCTTCAAATAAGTTTTAGGTTAACTTCTGCTTTTATATCTACTCTTAGAATTTAATACTTTAAAAAAAATCAAAGCAGTATCAGCTTTAAGTCACAATAAACTTTAAAAAATAAACTTTGGTTTCTATAACACATCAAAGGGACTACATGATTTTGACTGATGGGGACTTATCCTTTAAGACAGAATGAGGTCACAACAAACAAGGAGGAAAATAAAGCTTGTTTTGTAAAGACATCCTAAATTTCTATTTGTAATATGAAAAGTAAATCTTAAAAAGTCATGGTAAAGGAAATATTATAGTAGGATATTCATGAACTAGCTGTGTTTCTAGTTTAAAGACTAAATTTACTGTAAACACGGGAAGTATTCACACAGCCCAGTCCCAGAAAGAAGAAAAGAAAAACCTCTCAAAGGCAAGAACGGGCCAAATCAGTCCCTCAGCAAAAAATAAAGACTTGCCTAATCCTTCAGTTTTGGGGGAAGAAGGAAGTACAGAAGTGTCAGGAAACATGCCTCTAGAATTCTCCAGAACTACTTTTCTTTACCTACTTCCTGACCATGATCACACCCAACATAACCTAAATATCAATGCACTCAAAGTAAACATAGATTGAATTCATTAAGTATTTACATACTGTATCCTAATATGGAATCTTATCTTCCATTTTCGAAGTCACAGTAACAAATTAAAAACATTCATTTACAGCCAGGCATTGGTGGCGCACGCCTTTAATCTGGAGGCTGAGGCAGGCGGATGAGTTCGAGGCCAGCCTGGTCTCTAGAGCGAGTGCCAGGATAGGCTCCAAAGCTACACAGAGAAACTCTGTCTCAAAAAACCAAAAAAAATAAAATAAAATAAGATAAAAAAAAATCCATTTACATTCATCTACAGGCAGTTTCTACAGTCCTCTGATTTCTGCAAAAAAGCTCAGATATAAACTACAACCTAGAATCGATGTCTTCAACAGAACTCTATAGCCTCACAAAGGACTTAATTTCAACACTTATAAAAATATAGACTTCTGGGCTGAGAATATAGCTCAGTGGAAGAGCACTTACTCAGCATGTATGAAGTCTCATGATCAATTTTCAGTACTGTAAAAGGATAATAAAAAGCAGACACAATGGCACATGCCTTTTTAAAAAGTGTGTGTGTAATGTTTTACCTGCAAATAGGTCTGTGTACAATGTATGTGCTCAATGTCCAGAGGCCAGAAGAGGGTACTGGATCCCCTAGAGCTGGAGTTACAGATGGTTTTCAGCCACCACATGGGTGCTAGAAATTAAACCCAGGTTTAATTTCTGGAAAGAGCAGCCTGTGTTCTTAACCACTGAGCCATCTCTTTAGTCCCAGTACATGACTTTAATCCCACCACTTTGGAGGAGGCAAGAGAACTGGGAATTCAAGATACAACCCCATTACACAGCAAGTTTCAAGGCCAGCCTGGGCTGCATAAAATCCTGTCTCAATAGCTGGACATGGTGGTTGTGCAGGCCTTTGATCCCAGTACTACAGAGGCAGAGCAAATGCAGACAGATCTCTGAGTTCAAGGCCAGCTTGGTCTACAAATTGGGTTCCAGAACAGTCAGCCAGGGATACACAGAGAAATCCTGTCTGGGGGTAAAAAGAAAGAAAGAAGTGAGGAAAGGAGGGGAGGGGAGGGGAGGGGAGGTCCCATCTCAAAATGGGGAGAAAAAGACTTCTGGGTAACTAACATTACCTGAAGAACTTACTAGACTATGAACTGAAAGAGGCTTCCAGCCTACTCTCAGTCTGGAAGCTGATCTACTACACCAAAACCAACTCCTGATACAAGATTAGCAGAAAAAGATCACAAAAGACTGAAAATTGTTTAAATTTTAATAGTGCTTATTACTTGGAATGTTATTGGGATTTAATTTTATTTTCCAGGCATTAGAGGTTAAGCTTAAGGGCTCCCTCATGCAAGCACTCTACTATGATGAGTATACACTGAGCTAGATACATTACCCAGCTCTCTATTGGTATTATTTTATTTCATTGTTTAAAAGACCAGGTCTTGCTATGCTGCCCAAGCTAACTCTGAACTACCTGGCTCAAGTGACCCTCCTGCCTCACATTATTTTTTTCTTTCTTTTTCTGTTGTTTTGGGGGTTAGTTGGAGGGGGTTTCTCTTTAAATTAAGAAAAATTTAAAATTATTTCTGTATGTGTGATGGGGGCAGGGGCATGACATGTGTGTATGTGTGTAGAGGTCAGAGGACAACTTTTGAGATTATGTTCTTTCCTCCCACATGAATTTGGGGTATTGAACTCAGGTTATCAGTATATTTTTCTTTCCTTTCTTTCTTTCTTTCTTTCTTTCTTTCTTTCTTTCTTTCTTTCTTTCTTTCTTTCTTTCTTTCTCTTTCTTTTTGCTTCAAGAGTCAAGGCCTCATGTTTAAGACTGGCCTTAAACTCCTGACCCCACTTCCCAAATGCTGAAATCACAGTTTCACCAACATGAACAACTCTTTTTTTACAGACAGAGTCTCACTGTGTAACCCAGACTAGCATCAAATTATGCTAGAGTGATCTCTCTGTGCCCCTTGGCTTTGCCTGGCTAAATGCATTTTAGGGTTATCTAGAGTGGTGAGATTACAGACATGGTACCCTATGGTTTAAGCTCCATCCTTTTATTGAGACAGTGTTTCATGGATGTAGCCCAGGGTATGCATCAAACTCTAATGTAACTGAAGATGACCCTGAAATGATCCTCCCGCCTAGTGCAAACCTCCCAAGTTCTAGGATCACAGGTGTGTACTATTATAACTGCCCAGGAAAACCTTAAGGATGTCTTTCACTCACCCTCACTTCATATCCCAATGCTTGGGACAGAACCCAGGGCTTTGTGCATGTTAAACAAGCCGTCTACCAGTAAGGTACACCCCCAGTTCCAAATGTGAAAAAAAAAATACTTTCTTTTTCTTCTTAAGCTAACTCAATACTGAATTAGTAGGCCCCACTATTGTAACCTGAATAAAAACACTTTCCAACAGGACCTGATTTCTTTGATCCATCAGAATACCAAAACAATAGCTTTTATTGAAAGACTACTTTTTTATGACAATATCAAAAATTCAACAATTTCTTTGGCTTTTTTAAAGCCATGTATGTAATCATGTATACAATACATGATTAAGAACATATTTAAGAACAATTCTCTTATTCTGATAGAACAAGCTATCTGGGTGGGGGAAAAGAGAGATACGGCTCTGTCAGTAAAGCACATATCTTACAAGCATTAGGACCTGAATTTGGAACCCCACCCAGCCCCAGTTTAGATGCCCAGAATGCTTTAAAGCATGAGGACTTGAGTTTGGATCCCCAGAACTCAAGTAAAGGATTGGGTAAGGTGAGTAACCTACAATTTCCAGCAATGGTGAAATGATTCAGAAGCAGGTAGATCCCAGGAGCTCAATAGCCAGCTAGCTTAGACTATTTAGCTTAGGTGAGCAGGAGAGATCTTGTCTTAAACAAAAGGTGGAGGGCACCTGAGTAAAGACAGTTTAACTTCCATATGCACATGCACTGGAGAGCGCGCACGCGCGCGCGCGCACACACGCACGCACGCACGCACGCACGCACGCACGCACCAGTGCACACACACACACACAAAGAAAAATGGCCTACTATCCGGTTTTATAAAGTCCCACCATCACAGGTAGTAAAGCAAGGGCTTTAGCTAAGAACTTTAATGTATCTGGGGAAAACTCAATACACACACACACACACACACACACACACACACACACACACATGGGAAATATGGTGGAAAAAATTTCCAAGGTTTAGATCCTAGCCTAAAGCCAGAAGAACAAGTAAGAAAAGTTTAAGAGGTCAATCAAAAGCCAGGCATAAAGCCATGTACAGTGGTAAGCACCTGTAACCCTAGCACTTAGGAGGTACAGGTAGGAGGATCAACAGATCATGGCCAGCTTCTGCTACACAGCAAGTTTGGGGCCAGCTTAGGCTACAATGACACCTTGTCCCTACCCCATCCAAAAAAGATTACAGGCATGGTGGTACATGCCTACAATGCCAGCACAGGGGAGGCTGAGGAAGGGGGATTAAGTTTAAGGAAAGACTAGCTACACAGCAAGACCCTGTCTCTAAGACAAAACAAAAAAATATAAACAACACTGGCATGGTTGCTCATAACAATAACCTCAGAACTTGAGAAGCAAAGGCAAGAGGATCGGAAGATCAAAGCTATTCGAAACTACAATATGAGTTTGAGTCCAGCCTGAGAGCTCATCTCAGAAAGACAAATTAAAAAAAAAAAAAAAAAAAAAAAAAAAAAAAAAAAAAAAAAA